GTGTGTACTATATCGTAAGTCAGGTTGAACGAAAACATCAGTTGATTGAGGTCGGGTGGAAGCAGGTTTAACTGAACGCATTGCGTTTGTAAGCCTGTTCGTGTAGGAGGTTAGATCCATGTTCATTGAAGAGGATGAAGGATCCACGAATTCTCCTGGAAGTCGAAGTGTCGTTCTATAAACGAGTTGAGACGCAGTGTATCCAATGTCAGCTTTCACTGCATTGCGGATACCTAGTAAGACGAGTGGAAGAGCGTCGGTCCACTGTGAAACGTTTGCAGCTGATAGCGAAGCTTTCAGTTGTCAATGAAAACGTTCTACCAACCCGTTTGCTTGTGGATGGTAGGCGGTCGTTCGGAATCGAGTGATTCCTAAACGTGTGGTCAGACGACGGAAAAGATCGGATTCAAACTGACGTCCGCGGTCTGTAGTGATGGTTGAAGGGCAGCCAAAGTTTGTTACCCATCGTTCGACGAAGGTGCGAGCCACTGTTTCAGCAGTGATGTCCTTGATAGGTACTGCTTCTGGCCATCGAGTGAAACGGTCTACGCAGGTTAAGAGATAAGAGTATCCATTTGAATCTGGTAAAGGTCCTACCAAATCCAGATGAACATGGTCGAAACGAGCATCGGGAGTTTTAAACGAGCCTAAGGGACATTTATTGTGTCTGATGACCTTAGATTTTTGGCAGCTTACACAGGAGCGTGCCCACTCCCTCACGTCTTTATTCATTCCAGGCCAGCAAAACCTTTCTGCTATAAGCTTGATGGTTGCACGAACACCTGGATGAGAAAGTTTGTGCAATGTGTTGAAGACATTGCGTCGATAATGTTTCGGCACGATTGGGCGATCCCTACCTGTAGATGTGTCACAAAGTAAGGTTTCCTTACCTGTTCCCATCTGTTTGATGCGTAGTTTAAGTGTTGTGGACGATAACTCGTGCTGAAGATCACTGTCTTCTTTTTGAAGCTCGGCGAGTTTAAGAAGGTCGATTCCTTGGAAACTGTTCAAGGAAGTTATACGCGATAAAGCGTCTGCAACTACATTGTTTGCTCCAGAAATATGTTGAATATCTGAAGTAAACTGTGAAATGTAGTCCAGTTGTCGAGACTCACGGGGGAAGTACTTGTCAGAAGGAGAGCTTAACGAGAAAGTGAGCGGTTTATGGTCCGTGAAAAGAGTGAATTCACGACCTTCGATGTAGTGTTGGAAATGCCGTACAGCACAATACATAGCTAGGAGTTCCCTACCGAATGTGCTGTACCTCGATTCGGTGTCTAGCAACCTTCTAGAGAAAAATGCCAAGGGTTGCCAGGAGTTGTTAACCCATTGTTGTAAGACTCCTCCGATTGCTGAGTCGGATGCGTCTACTGCGATGCTAATGGGTGCTCGGGTGTCCTGATGTGCGAGCATTGTTGCTTTAGCAATCAGTTCATTAACTGTGGAGAATGCTTTTCGTGCGGTGTCGTCCAAATTAATGGATTTCGCATTTCCACGAAGTTGGTCGGTCAGAGGTTTCATAAGTAATGCGCATTTCGGTATGAAACGTCTATAGAAACTTACCAGGCCGTTGAACGTGCGCAATTGCTTGACGGTGGTCGGTTCTGGGTAATCCAGAATGGCCGCCACTTTGGTTCTAAGGGGTCGGATACCTTGAGCATCGATAGTGTGTCCTAGGAAATCTAACGAGTCGGTTCCGAATTGGCATTTCTGAACGTTTACAGTAATGCCATGTTTTTGTAGTCGTTCGAAAACAAGATCCAGATGATTGAGATGTGTTTCTCTGTCCGGACTTGCGATTAGACAGTCGTCAACATACGCGTGTACGAAGTTGAGACCTCGAAAAACGTCGTCTATGAATCTTTGGAATGTTTGAGCAGCATTTCTTAGACCGAAAGGCATTCGCAAAAATTCATAGAGTCCGAAGGGAGTTATGATAGCTGTTTTTGGTATATCGTCAGTAGCCATAGGGATTTGGTTATATGCTTTAACCAAGTCGATTTTCGAAAAGACAGTTGTACCTTTCAAGGTAGCTGTCAAATCGTGAATGTGAGGCAACGGGTAACGATCGGGAATGGTTTTCGCGTTCAATCGCCGATAGTCACCAGTTGGACGCCAATCGTTGCTGTCCTTTTTAGGGACCATGTGCAACGGAGATGCATATGGGCTACTTGACGGTCGTATGATTCCTAAATCCATCATGTGATCGAATTCGTTTTTCGCTAACCTTAGCTTTTCAGGAGCTAGTCGTCGTGCTTTAGAGAATACAGGTGGTCCTGTAGTCGTGATGTGATGTGTAACGTTGCTGGTTACACACGGTAGTTTCGGTTGAGTTTGTTGTATTCCAGGGTATTTATCTAGTAGTGGTTGATAGAGTGGGTCTATCATATGCTTAACTGTGACTGGGGATACTCTACAACCAGTAAAAGAAGTTACGCAAACGGACAAATTAGTGTTACCGTCTACTAGCCTCCGTTTGCGAGTGTCGATGATCAGATTGTGGTGTTGTAGAAGGTCCATACCAATGATTGGTATAGAAACATCTGCAACAACGAAAATCCAGTGGATGGGTTTGCGTAAACCCACGTTAAGGTAAACGTACCTTTTGCCATACGTAGCGATCGGTTTTCCGTTTGCCGCCTGTAAGTTTAGAGCCGATTCTTGAAGCCGATCGTTGGGATTCGCTGGGAGAACGCTAACTTCTGCGCCAGTATCGACGAGGTAGCGAACTCTCGTTGTCACATCTGTGACGTATAACAGACGGCTATGTTCGCCGGCTACGGTTGCCGTTAACGCGTGCCGGCTTGGAAGTTTCCCGAATTGTTTTTCGAATCAGTCGGTTACGTGTTGGGAAAATTGCAGGGTTTTCTGCAATTTCTGGAAAACTTTCCATACTGGTTATGATACCAGCACCAGTCGGGGTTATCCGTCTCTCGTGGTCTAGAGACAGATCGCTTACGAGAAATGCTTCTACGTGGTGTGCGCGATCTCTTACGGTCGGTACGAAGACTAAGATAACGCGTGAGTGTGTGACATAAGTCGGTTATATCGTTCTGAGTCGTGTGAGGCTTTTCTTTGACTGAAAATACCTCGGCAGTAGATTTCGTAATTTCTAGAATGCGGTCGGCAGATGCAGCTAGCTCGTCTAAGCCGTTGTTCTGGAACGAGACCAGAACTACTTGCACCTGTTGAGGAAGTTTTGACAAGAAGAGTTGTTTGAATAGACCTTCGTCGAAAGTTCTTAGGCCTATAATCTCTCTCATCCGTTGCAACATGTCTGTCGCAGAACTGTGTTTCAGGTCGATGTTGTTGAAGAGTTGATCTAACCTTTGTCGATCGGTTAGATCTCCTCGTTTAAGAATTGAGCGTTTTAAGATTTCGTAAGGGTCGGACACATCACTAGTAAACATACTAGGTGTCACGTACCTGTTGAATTCGCGCAGTAGTGCCTTGACTACTGCGAGGAATTGTGCACGTGTGTCGATCACGCTGTGCTCGGAGAAGTCGGCTTCTGCGTAGCAAAACCAGGCTTTGATGTTGTCGGGCCAGAAAGGCATCAGTTGAAACGAAGGTGGGGACAAAGTCTTAAGCTTGAGTACTTTAGGTGTCTGTTCAGTCATGATGAAATATTAAGTATGATAATGAACGAGGGGAAAATATATATATCCAAGAAAAAGCACGAAAAAAAATCACAATGTTTAAAAAAAAAATAAAAAATAAGGCAATGATATATAAAAATCCCAAAAAGGAACAGACTCACAGTTGCAATAAGGTGTACCAGATCACGTCGGTTTCACCAATGATGATGTCACAGGTATTCAGTGTTTGACAACGCTTCGACCAGTAACACCTTCTAATATATTTCGTTCCCACCCAGAGAAATCAAAAGACAGAGTCGAGGAGATCGGAAGAGTATATTTGGCGATGACCAATATATCGGAATTCTCTGATCTAATCTGGCTAGCGATTGCGGTTGATGTTGAGCACGGCGTTACCACACGTGATCTGGTGCGGATGCCTGACCGAGCGCCTTCAGCTAGATGAGTCCACTAAAACATATGGTCAGCATCCAATGTCGAAAACTTACAGAGCTATTTATTTTAGGGATTTATTTACCGCTACAAACCTAAGTTGTTACATTAGTTTCCTTCTAGAATCAACTTCCATAGGAATGTCTGTTTGATCGACTTACCAAACCAGAACATGTCACTTCAGCTTGCTTAGCCCGAAAGAGAATTCATTCAATGTTTGAATTTCGATTGATGACGACGAACACTAAGTCATTACTCGGAGATACTTCATGGATGTTATATCATATCTCGTAGTATTTGCATTCTCCCATGATTTATCGAACGTGTCTTCTTTATGAGGTTCAGAGGTAGCAAGAGAACGGAGGGTAAGAAAATGGAACAAGAATATCTGAGGTAATGCATTGACCAAATCTTTGTTGTAAGTAGAAAGACATGACCTCAAGATCTGTTTTATAACCTTTATAACTGGTTACTTCAACGAAGCAGCAAACTAAACAAAGCCATTGTTATTTGGAATCGGGACACTTTTGATACCTTCTATCTCATTTGACTTCACACTCAACTAAGTAAGTGGCAAACACGTCCTCTAAATCCCATAGTTGGCCAGCACATTGACTGTTCAAACTGAAATTGTTGGATTAAGTGGGAATTGCAGATGTCTATGAAAAATAATATAGTACACCTACATATTAGCAAAACATAGGCTGGAAATAGTAGTGTGAACAGACAAAATGCGAAAAAAATAGAGTATAGAAGTGAAAGGATTGAAAATAAAAATTTAAGATGTGATAAACAGAAAAGTAAACGTCCTAGAGTAGTGATCATCCCTACAATAGTTTGAATGATATCAGCGTTTCATTGAAAGGTATCAAAAACGACTGATATCAGATTTTTTTCATACACTACCGTTTAAATTCAAAACCACGGCTACAACAAGGTTTTACTTTGAATTGTATTGTTTGAATGTGTAGCGGCCTTCGGTTCGGCACGTTTTGAGTTTGTGTACCTATCATGTATGTTGACATTTCTGGATGTATATCAGTTTTTTCGTACAAGTTCACAATACTTAATCGTTTATTTGTCGAAACGGCTTTACTTGTGACGAAGTTTTAACGGGAACAAAATGCTTTCTTTTTCAGGACTACGTTTGGTGCAAAACTGGAACATCTTTTATGTTCCAGGGCTGAGATAATCAGCCGAATGCACAGACCCCCACCAGCTGAAGGGAATGATTTGGAACGCCTTCTGAACTTACCTCCGAACACAAACCCATCAGTACAAGCGCCACCACCAAATGTACCAGTTTGGCCGGATGAACAGGCAGCAGCATTTTGTGCAGTTGCTCCTCCTATTGAAACATTCATGGATGTTCCTGATGAAATTCGCCGGGACCAATTTTATGCTGTAAGCTCAGTCTTAGTTCCGATTCAACCTTGGCTCAGTGGTTCCTATTATCTTACCTGTGCCGTGTGTGATTAGTGATTTCGTCATGTTTAGCGATCTTGTTAGGTGGTACCTCACCTATCAGTACAGATAAAATTATGAGTTTTTAGCGGGTGGTAGCGTGTAGGTGATGTTATTATGTGCCCTTGAGTATACGCATAATTCTCCCCATAGACCATTGCTATACAGCGATGTCCTAAAATAATAGAGTTGACCTTAGTTATACGTTTATGATCTAAAGGCATTTGAATCGCCTGACTACTTATTAATTCACCTTAACTAGGTCCGCTAATGCGAGTGTGCTATTAGGTCGAGTCGGTAATGGTTATAAAGTAAGCGATTTCGGGGACCTTTTCCTGCGAGACTGTTATTTACGGGCAAAATATAAGCATTAAATCTTATACTTCAGCACAAAATCTATCCTTTTTTACAGTTTAATAGCATTTTCAGTTTGGGATTGGGAGTTGTCTGGATGGCCTGTGTTAGTCTTGTCAATGGTGGTCTCAGTTGATTGAAATTTCTTTTGAAAGCGTCGATGGACGGAGTTTCAATCACATGTTAAGGTGATGATTCCCATTCGTTGACGATTCGGTGTAAAAGTCGATAATCAGCCAAAAAGTAGTTATGAGCTTGTAAACTTTCTAATTGTTCTCGTAAATCCTGTTTTGAAAGACCGAAAATGAATGCCATGCAAAATCCATCATTACGTAATTAAAGAACTGTTATGAAGTCGCCTCTGGTTCTTTTATGTGATAAGGGAAACTAATTTGGCTTATCTTGTCTATCATCATACTGGAGCTTTTAGGCAGGGGCTAACAGTTAGTTTGGAATACTGGAGTTTAGGATGAACGTATACTGTATACCAAATCAAAATGGTTTTAGCATCGTCATGGCTGAAGGCACTGCGTATTGACCATAGTGTTTTAAAACCTTGGGGGTTATCTCACGGCATTGTGCAGTAGTTTTTAAGTCTTGGCTATCGATGAATCCTAGGTCATTGTGTTTGACCAACAAGTAGCCCGGTGTTACTCACCCTGTATGTATCTGTACCTCGATGACCAGTATGTATCATCATGAACTTGAAAGCATTTATCAGCAGCTGCCAAATTTTAGACCATTCAAATCATTTCTTTAGGTCATTTTGGAGCTTTAAACTATCACCTTTTTATCGCTCTCCAAATCTTGACATCGTGAGCATATAGCAAAACCGATGATGATAGGAGACGAGGAGGGTCATTTACATGCAAGAGGAATAACACTGGCCCCAAACCCGTGCCCTGAAACACTCCACTAAACGCAATTTCCAAACTATACAACTTTGAATCAACCCGTACTTTTTGTCGACTCGCAACTAGGAAGCCGTTAATCCACACTAATAAGTTGCCTCCAATCTCGATATGGCTCAAAATCGTTTGCAATGGCGCAGGTGCATCCACTCTCTGTGTTCTCCCAAATTCTAATCTTCTGAATTCTTCATGTCCCTTTTTTCCTCTTTCCAAATTTATTTCACTGGATTATACTCTTTAAATAACATCTCCAAACCCTAATCTTCCCGATTACTGCTTATACTCTTATTACCTCTACCACTACGGGATTTGAATCGACAAGTGCATCTCTGTGCTAATGTGGTGTGGCAACTCGAACTGATGTACGTACGTACGAAGTTCTACGTTGTTACTGACTGACTGACTGAAAAGCCGGTTATGAGGAACTGTCAAAAGCCTTGCTGAAGTTAAAAGCTTTTCTCCATACAATCTTCTAGACTTGATGTATTATTACTATTATTTGAACACATAGATATTGGTACAAGGAGTCACCAAATACAAATGCGCCACACAAATCTCATTTGATGTGTAAAGGCTGTGATACTGATCGGGTGCCAAAACCAAAACAGGTGGTTTTCTACGGGGGCCACACACGAAGCCTTCGACCTCAAGGTCTGACCCACAAGGCAGTGAAGCATCGTGAGGAGATGCAGTCCCACGGTAGTCGGTGACCAACAATTGGTTCATATGTCATTTTTCCCTCAGGATACTGGTGTCCATGTGCACCATTAGTTTGGAATTGTGGTTTTTCAACTCCCCTAGGTGGACTCTTCATGTCCACCAACCCGGTTAAAGCATCGGAGATTCGCTTTTTGTCCTCTGAATTTTGTAAACAACAGTAATATCACGAGAAGGCAATGAGCAGGACTTCCCTGGCAGAGGCTATATACTCGTGGCATTTCGAGAGGGAGAGCAGACTCTCCCCACTCTCGGCCGTACCAGGGCATTTTGGGGCCGACTTGCTGAGAGTCGAGGCACAAATATTTTGAGCTTCCTGATATTGAGATTTTGTCTCGTCAGTATCCGGTAACCAAAATCTCTCCCATATTCTCTTTTTACGAAAAAGGGTGCGAACCTCTTTACTAAACCACGGTGGGGAGTTCCTTGGACTCCTTGGTGTAGTTCAAGAGATGTCCAGTGCAGTAATTTTAATATATAAATTTCTGGATACATCTCAAGAAATTTCAATGCGGTGTCTCGATTCTATTGTCCAATCCACAGAGGATGCTAAGTGTATAATATCTTGTATATTTGCTTTCCAGATATTTTGTCTGGCTTGGGCTGACACATCGTTATTGACAACGATATGCAAATCAAGAACTAGAGCTGCATGATCACTCTTACCTAAGAGTGGTATATAATAAAGGCTTATTATGTCATCTAACGGGTCAATATGCCATCTAGTAAGGATAATTTGGGGTCTGTGCTGTACCTAGTTGCTCCTCCCACATGTTTCACCAGGGAACATGCGATAACCACATCAACTAGTTTCTGTTCGAAAGGATTTTCTGACAACCCAATCCTCAGATTTTTCCAGTCTATTTTCACCGTAAGTGCATTAAAACCGATCACTTGATGACCAAGTGTTAAATCCGTTTAACAAAAACTCATCTCACAATTTGAACTATCATAAACCAAACCAATCAACAGCTCCTGTCCTTTGTATTTCGAGAGGCAACTAACTTATTAACATGTTCCACTTTCATGGGATGTGTTACCGGTTTCGGTAAAGGGGATAGTATTTCTGATGAATTGAACTACTCCTGTTCACCTGCTTAAAGTAAGTATTAGTTGGGATTCAAGTACAGTAATCACTAGAGCCCGTTCTTGATATGTATACTAACTCCCAATTAGCCATCTCAACAATACGCTGTGAACTCTGTCTTAAGTGTTTGACATAATGGTTTGATTTATTTGTTCTTCCACTACAGAATAAAGCTCATATTCATGTCTCTGAATGCTACAAATCAGTATAATTGTAAGATTATTCTCTTACAATGTGCGTATAGGGTTAAGAATACTTCGGCATTCTTTTTGATAATTTAACCTTGCTGTTCTGACGTGCGGCGATTCGGGTCAACATACTTTTGTACCAGTTTCTCGTGTTGTTGATGTCTGATTCGACAGATGTACTGTCCTATGGCCTACCAAATAGTTTTATACTATTCGTAAGTGATGGATTAGTGACTAAAACAACCGAACTCTAACTAGTGACTCTCAAGTTTGAACGCCGTTTCAACTTCGTTGGTTTAGGCAGTCAGGTATCGTTATTAGCCCTCGCATAAATAGCGTTGCTCTAAGTCGAGCACTTAAACTGGAATTCAATGAGTAAAAACAATGTATACTTCATAAACATTATATGTATTTTTCGTTTTTGTTTTGACTTCCATTTAAATGTTTTTCCTTACACTAGACATGTCGACGTGATGATGTATTAGTGGGTGTTATCAGTGTTATACAGGATTCCGGTCTTGTAGTCTCTGTCCTGGCATATGATCAAGGACCTCGGCGGGATTTCGAAGGTCTAAAGATCACGGTAATTGTTTTTACTAGTCTTTATATGTTCTTTATCAGGGCTTTTGTCCGTTGAGACAACTTCCGCGATATAATGCTCACGGAAACGCTTTGGATGCTTTTCAAATCGGTGACAAAGTTCGTGGTGAGTTGCCTACTTGTTCTTGCGTTACTGATTATTTCTTGGGTTACGTGCGCTTCCTCACTACGTTATGTGCATAGTTTTGTGTACTAAACATTGTGTGTGTGTGTTCTAAGAGCCATTGACAATTTTCAGCTGCTTAGCAATAATTAGGGCATAAAACCACTACCTGGCAATTGAAAGTTTACTTTGCAAACCGTTGAAGCTTTAAAGTGGATGTCGTCGGTTAAGTGAAATCCCTATAGTTCGTACCAGTTGTTTTTGTTGAAATTCATAATACACAATTCTATGCCACAATACCTAACCATTCACTAATTAGCCAAAAATACATCTCTGTACTGTCGATCTGATGTCAACTTAAAATAAAGTTGAGTGATTACTAAAGCCCGAATATTTCATGACTTTTCACTCTCGTTTCCACTCACTATTTACTTAGTAAATGACAAACTAGCAGATTGATCATTTCCCTACAAACCACGTTGAGTAAGAAGTGATGTTCAACTTCGATTCATACACTACTGATAAACCAAATTTATTATTTTACATTTCTATTATAGCATTTATTCTTGACATTCATGGAGGTGGACGTCTAATATTAAGCATGAATGCGAAGATGCTTAATCGTGATACTTATGGGGATCTGAAACTTGTAAGTTAAAATTGAAATACATATCAATAGTGAACCCTTTCATTCTCCACTATCTCTACATGAATTCTTTCTTATTTTTCTAGGGTATCATTACTGATGATGATATGCCTCTATATTACAAGTAAGTACACTTAGTCATAAAAATATTTTTTCAAGATTTAATCACAAATTTATCACGTATGTTTTAAAGGCACTATTGTGATACAAGTAGTGGATTTTTTATTAAGTTGATAGTATTGTTTCTCACGGTCTGGTACACAAATTAGTCTGAGGCTACTAAACTATGCACGTCAGACGTAACATATACTGTAGTGCTGATATATCAGTTTAAGTTGTCACACTTTACAGCATAACAAGAGTAAATTAAAAGCCAGAAAAGCTCAAAGAATTCAACTACAATGTGGGGAACTGAAAAGACGGTAGAAACGAATGGTTCTGGTTTCCGGAAGTTGTTAATTAGTACGAATTTAGTAGAACTAATACACTAACATTTTTTTGACGGTAGACTTATAATCTACTATTAAGTTTAATATTAGTCGCTTTTGTACCGATTGTTTTTTGGTTGATATATGTAATTAAATGAGATTATTATCGGAAACGTTCATTTTGATTGCTAGTGACATTTTATGGAGTACATTACAATCCGATGTTTTAATGTTGAATTAATTACATTTTGACTCATTCTAGTTCAAATGTATTAAGTTACATAGCTTTTTTATTTTCAAGAATCTTTCAGTAATCAATTTTACTGAATTTGCCCTAACATTTCCCTTATATTGATTTTGTGAACTAGGAAACTTCAGAATTTGGATGGCAAATCGTATGAAGCCTACCTTGAATCAACACCACAATTTCGCAACCCAGATGGCCTTCAAGTTCTGTGCGCACGCATGGGGATACCACGTTCGTCAGCATGTAGTCTTCTCTTTTGTATTAATAAGTAAGATTAGTTAGTACTAATAATCTAGAGTCTACATGAGATGCTTATCATTAATATTTTTGCATATTTGTTTACATCTGTTTTATGCATTGATTACTTATTGAGGGATTCAGAAAAGTCTCAGATCTTTTGTTTATACTTGCCATTTATAACTATGCTTTTCCCCCGTTTGTAGAATCCGATTACCAAAATCAGAGATGGCTTGTGAGCTTAGACGTACCCAGTTGCTGAATTTTTCAATGAAACAGTAAGCGTTTATATGTTAAGTGTGGTTGTAATTTACTTACTTACTTACTTACTTACTTACTTACTTACGCCTGTTACTCCCAATGGAGCTTAGGCCGCCGACCAGCATTCTCCAACCCACTCTGTCCTGGACCTTCTTTTCATGTCTATCTCCATTTCCCGGCGTAATGTGTTCTTTGGTCTTCCTCTTTTCCTTTGGCCTTGAGGATTCCATATGAGGGCTTGTCTTGTGGCGCAGTTGGGTGTTTTCCTCAATATGTGTTCTATCCACTTCCAGCGCTTCTTCCTTATTTCTTCCTCCGCTGGGATCTGGTTTGTTCTCTCCCACAGTACGTTGTTGCTAATAGTGTCCGGCCAATTGGTCTGAAGTATTTTGCGTGGACAATTGTTAATAAACACCTTTATTTCCTAGATGATGGCTTTCGTAGTTCTCCAGGTTTCTGCCCCATACAGTAGAACTGTCTTGACATTTGTATTGAAAATCCTGACCTTGGTGTTGGTTGACAGTTGCTTTGAGTTCCAGATGTTCTTGAGTTGTAAATATGCTGCTCTTGCTTTGCCGATCCGCGCCTTCACATCTGCATCGGATCCACCCTGTTCATCAATGATGCTGCCCAGATATGTAAAGGTTTTTACATCTTCCAAATCTTTTCCGTCAATTGTGATTGGGTTGGTGCATTCTGTGTTGTATCGGAGAATCCCGCTTTTCTCTTTGTGTATATTGAAACCTACTGCTGCTGAGACTGCTGCCACACTGTTCGTCTTCTCCTCCATTTGTCGTTGCGTTCGGGATAGAAGGGCCAGATCATCTGCGAAGTCCAGATCGTCCAACTGCATCCTAGGTGCCCATTGTATCCCGCGTTTCCCTCCAGATGTTGACGTCTTCATGATCCAGTCGATCACCAGGAGAAAAAGAAAGGGTGAGAGTAAGAAACCTTGCCTAACACCGGTCTTCACTTCGAACGACTTTGTCAACTGCCCTCCATGCACAATTTTGCAGTGTAATCTATCATATGAGTTCTGTATGATATTGACTATCTTCTGAGGCACGTCGTAGTGTCGAAGAAGTTTCCATAGTGTTGTTCAGTTCACGCTGTCAAACGCTTTTTCGTAATCAATGAAGTTGATGTAGTGTGATGAATTCCATTCAATTGATTGTTCCACAATGATCCGTAGAGTTGCGATTTGGTCTGTACACGATCTATCCTTACGGAATCCCGCCTGTTGATCTCGAAGTTGGGCGTCTACGCAGTCCTTCATCCTGTTTAACAATACTCTGTTGAAGACTTTTCCCGTTATTGAGAGAAGAGTGATGCCCCTGTAGTTATCACACTTGCTGAGAACGCCTTTCTTCGGTATTTTGACCAGAAGTCCTTCTTTCCAGTCTTTTGGTACTTGTTCCTCATCCCAAATCTTATTGAAGAGAATGTGGAGTAACTTTGCAGTTGCCGCTACGTCTGCTTTTAGTGCCTCTGCTGGAATGTTGTCTGGTCCTGCTGCTTTGCCACTCTTGATTTGTCTGATGGCCATGCTGATTTCTTCAATTGTTGGTGGGCCAACATTGATTGGGAGGTCCGTGGGTGCTGCTTCGATGTTGAGTGGGTTCAGTGGAGCTGGTCGATTCAAGAGTTCTTTGAAGTGTTCTACCCACCTGTTTCGTTGTTCTTCAATATTGGTGATTACCTCGCCTTCCTTGCTTTTCACTGGTCGTCCTGGTTTGCGGCGATTTCCAGAGAGTTTCTTTGTCGTGCCATACAATTGTCTCATATTTCCTTCTCTTGCAGCCTTTTCCGCCGTCGTTGCTAAATCTTCCACATATTTACGTTTGTCGGTTCTGATGCTCCTTTTCACTTGTTTGTTTGCTTCTGTGTATTCAGTTTGTGCCTTGGCTTTTTCTGCTCTTGTTCGGCTGGTATTGATCGCTGCCTTCTTGTTTCTTCTTTCTTGAATCTTATCCAGTGTATCAACAGTGATCTATTCCTTGTGCTGGTGCTTCTTGTGACCCAGGACCTCATGACATGTTGAAGTGATTGCCTCTTTGATCCCCTTCCAGTTGCTCTCAAGAGTAGTTCCTTCTCCATTGAGTAGATCATGAAAGGCCTGGAACTTGTTGCTGAGGACTATCTTGAATTCGTTGAGTTTGTTAGTATCCTGGAGAAAGGTCGTATTGAACTTTTATGATATTGTCCGCCCCGTTGTCCAGGGCTTCTTGAGTTTCAATTTCATCTTGGCGTCCAGCAAGTGATGATCTGATGCTATATCAGCTCCTCTCTTGGTTGTCACGTCCTCTATAGTCCTCCTGAACGTTTTGTTGATGCAAATATGGTCGATTTGGATTTGCGTGGTGTGATCCGGTGAAGTCCATGTGGTTTTGTGTATGCGTTTATGTGGGAATATGGTGCCGCCTATGACCAGTTTATTGAAGGCACATAGGTTTGCAAATCTCTCGCCATTTTCGTTCCTTTCTCCCAGTCCGTGTCGTCCCATGATGTCTTCATATCCAGTGTTGTCCGTTCCAACCTTGGCATTGAAATCTCCCATCAGAATGGTCAGGTCCTTTGTTGGGCACTTCTCGACGACTGACTGCAGCCTATTGTAGAATTGATCTTCATTGTAGTCGTTGGTAGGCGCATAGCATTGGATGATGTTCATTGAAATGCCCTCTTTCTTTGAAGGAGGCTTTGATGATCCTTGGTCCATGAGATTCCCATCCTATAAGTGCCTTTTGTGCTTGTTTGGACAGCATCAATGCAAATCCTTGTGTATGTGGTGCATTTTCTTCTTCATGGCCGGAGTATATCAGGAGCTCTCCTGTAGTTAGTCGTTGTTGTCCAACTTGTGTCCAATGTGTTTCACTGATCCCAAGTACCTCTAGGTTGTATCTTCTCATTTCTGCAGCAATTTGGAAGGCTCTTCCGGTGTCCCACATTGTACGAACATTCCATGTACCTAAATAAATGGTCGCTCTGGTTGTCAGAAGGGGCATCGGCCTCGTAACTTCCGAAGGAATTCGGCTTTCATCATGAGGCGTCATAATTCTTCTAAATGAAGACCTTCTGACTCCCAGGGCAGAGTTTAAAAGGTTTGAATACTGTTTTCTGGTTAGCGTTTTTTTAGCGAGTTAGTTTTCTACGGGATGGGGACGCTAACCCCATACTCAACCCTCCTCCTTTATGCGAGCTTGGGACCGGCAGTAGCCCCCGGAGGGACTCCAGGCGGAGTTTGTAATTTAATAATCTATAGTTAAAACAAATAACTGTCTTGACAGTTCAGAAAACTTTTATAATAGGCTTAGTAATATAGCAGAGAACTAAAACCCCGTTTCAGCATCCCTATGCAATTGACTTTTCTAATTATATATATATATATATTTGGCGCTCTTGTACCAATATTTATTTGTTCAAATAAATAAATAAATAAATAAATAATATATTCACTTTATTATTAGTGTCGCCCAAGGTGTAAAATATTTCAAGGAAAGCCGAAATACTGAAGCTTTACAGTGTTACAATTTTGCAATTGAAGTTGAACCAACTAATCCTGACGCCTATGTTGCCCGTGGTGCTCTGTAAGTCACAACTTTCGCGTTGTTGAATTGCATACCTAGTTTACATTTTTAACTTGGGTCTGGTAAAAAGTGTACCTGAATTTTTATCAAAGAGTTTGACTTTCTTTTGAAAGATTTGTGTTCTATTTTAAATTACTTACTCCTGTTACCCCTCGAAAAGAAGAATAGGCTTCCCACCAGCATTCTACATCCAACTCTGTCTTGGCCAATCCTTTCCAGTTGCTATTCATTCTTTTTATGTCTGTTTCCCATTCCTGATGCAGTTTGTTCTTTGGTCTTCCTCTTTTCCGTTTCTCCTCAAGGTTCCGAATTAGCGCTTGCCTCATGATGAAGTTTGATGATTTTCGAAATGTATGTTCTATCCACCCCCAGTGTCCTTTCCTAATTTCTTCAATTGGAAGCTGGTTTGTTTTCTCCCGTAGTAGACTGTTGCTGATCGTATCCGGTCAGCAACGGGGATTGCGTATTCTGTGCAAACAACAATTTATAAGTACTTGTACCAGTTTGATTATGGTTGTGGTTGTTCTCCACGTTTCAGCTCCGTACATTAGAACTGTATTAAAGATTGTGACTTTAATATTGGTTGACAGTTGTTTTGAGTTCCATATGTTCTTCAACTGTAGGGATGCTGTCCTTTTCCTATCCTTGCCTTTACGTCTACATTAGATCCTCCTTGTTCATCGATGATACTACTAACGAGATACGTGATAGTTTACACCTGTTCTTGAGTTTCTCCATCAAGTGGGATTGGGTTGGTTAGTGTTCTCCGTGTTATATATGAGGATGTTGCTTTGTCCCTTGTGTTTGTTTAGACCTACTGCTGTAGAGGGTTTTGCCACATTGGTTGTTTTAACCTGCATTTGCTCCTATGTATAGGAAAGAAAGACTAGGTGATCTGAGAAGTCGAAATGATCTAGTTGCATGCAATCTGTCTGTTGTATTCCGTGCCTCCCCTCAGATATGTAGGTCTTCATAATCCAATCAAACATCAGAAGGAAGAGAACGGAAGAGAGTAAGCAGTCTTGTCTGACTGCGGTCCTCAATTGAATATGTCTGTCAGCTGTCCTCCATGTACCGATTTGTAGTGTAGTCCGTCGTGTGAATTCGGTATGATGTTGATGATCTTCTCAGTTACTCACTACATAGTGTTGATGAGGGTTGTACCAGGTCCTCCTATCCACACTATCAAACGTTTTCTCATAGTCGAGGAAGTTGGTGTATAGTGACAAGCTACGTTCAATTCATTGTTGAACGATTATCCGTAGTGTGGTGATTTGGTGTGTGCACGACCGATCCTCACGGAATACAGTCTGTTGATCGCGAAGTTGAGCGTCCACTGAATCTTTCATCCTGTTCAGCAGCAGTGTTAAAAACATTTCCTGGTAGTTTTATGCCTCTATAGTTTTCGCAGTCTCTCAAATCTTTCTTTGGTATCTTGATGAGATATCCTTCTCCCCAGTTTGTCTGTTGCACTTGTTCTTCCTCCCAAATCTTCCAGAATGGAACGTGGATCATTTTTGCAGTTACTTGTATTTGTGACTTCAGTGTTCCATTTAGTATATTGTCAGGTCCATCTGCTTCCCTACTCTTGATCTATCTCATGTGCTACTGTGATTGATCTAATACTCTGTGGTATGATTCAATGAGACCCATATCTCTTTGTGTGTGTTTGTGATAATTACAAGAGGTAAAGAGTCGTATATTAGTATTTGTTGATCGTTGTCCGATTTGGTATCCCCTTCATTGTTATTTATCCATACCATTTTATTTAAGGCTCGCAAATGTTAAATCTTTCTCATTTAAGTTAATGCTGTAGTACTTTGACATGCAATCCTAATTTACTGTAAAATTTTGTTTAATCAAGTTTTATTCAACCATGTATCTTCACAACATTGGTCTTATTCAATTTTCTTTAAAAGCAGTTTAACTTCAGAAGCACTTATCCAACATTTTAAATAAAGGAATTCAGCCAATATGTAACACCTATGAACTGAATAAGGCAACTGGTTCTATTTCTGCTTTCCCTACTTCAGTTTATGCATCTGTGTAGTATCGTTGACCCTCATACTTAGAATGTGATTAGAAGCCAAGCATACGATTTTGTGCCTGGTAAATGGGTTAGTAGATAAATGAATTTACCCTGTTAACTTCAGACTGTTAGAATGAGTAGCATCGGTGTCTGTTGTTGATATCCGGACTACATTTTCTTACTTTTTTTACTCACTTCATATTCGTACTAAAATTATACTTTAATAATCTGTTCTTTTTAATGTCACATTTTATCATACGTTAATAAAGCTATGCCTCAATCGGCACGTACACAAAGGCAGTGGAGGATTTGGAGAAAAGTCTTGAAATCCAACCAAATCATGTTAATGCTAAAAATTATCTAGTTCAGACGCTGGTTGCGTATGCTGGCGAGTAAGTTTATACTGTTAATAATAACAAATATAAGCATCAGGATATCTAATATAAATATACATCGCTCCTGGTTATCTCATCTTTCTAAGATGCAGTTCGATTTCGCCTCAAAACATTCAAATTATTTACAATATCATTGTGGCCTATTTTAGAATTAGTTCTTCACGGTCAACCCCAATGTAGCATAACATCCAATACTCTATATTAAATACCTTGCTAACCGTGAAGAACAAACCTAACCATCACGTTCATATAGCAGCTATCTGTTTAGTACATGAGAGAAAACTAATGATAAGCAAGTCTTGAGTTTCAGTATTCCTTCATACATACCCGTTCATTTTGCCTTTTCGAACTATACCATCAATATTTATTCTTTCTCATTACTATTGTTGTCATATTGTTTGGGCTCCTTTGTTATTCATCTTTTAAAATTTATCTCTTGCTAATGTGGTGTGAAAACCTGGGTTAGTTTACGTTTGCCAGACTCTGTTGGTTATGATCAAGTGAGTATGGTTGAGAAAGTGTAGGACGGCAGTAAAAACGCAAAAAGTCTGATTCGGTGTCTTTATAGCGGTTTCCTATTTTTTATCATCAGTTCATGACTCATAAATGGGGAATGACATTCTCTTTGAAAGAAGATACCAAATCGCACCAATGTGTATTAAGAATGATTGTAATATTGACGTCGATAGTAACAGTTAAATTAACGTCTCCCGAAACATTTCGAATTGATCTAGCCTTCGTCAGTCGCATCTAACCAATCCCATTGTTAAAAACATTGTCTTACGCGTGTGTAAACTATTTTCTCCGTTGACTGCAAATCGTAAGTGGCCTTGAAATTTTTTTTGGTTCAGCCGTCTTTTTGGCTATTTACTTTTAATAACCAATTTAATTGACTACTGTACATCACACTGTGATTTGACCTACACTTCTATCAATGCTTCAAGACATTGGGTTTAATGACCAAAAGCAAACCACAGGCTCTAAACATATTTTGAACAAATGTCAATCACCGAATTTTACTATTTTCGTGTATTAAGCATGTCAAAAAGAAAACGCTTTGACTACAGATAATTTGAGTGAGTAATGTGAAAACTTCCTCGGTCCAGATCTTATAAAATATGCTTTTATTTTATAATTATTTGGTCAAACCTTTTACTTTGTGTGTAAAATATTTTGTTCTTTACAGAATTGGGCGTAAGGAAATAAGCAAGGCAGAACAATTAATAAATCGGGCACTTAAGTTGGATCCTGACAATAATGAAGCCCGAGATGCACTGAAAGAACTTCAAACTAACGGATCTTTCTCTACTAACAAGGATGCTGGTTTGGTATGTTGACAATAATATAAATAGCAGGCTTTCATGTATTCTTATCGAATATTTTATTTTATCAATAAATTGTTGTTCCTGTTTGTTTATAGCGATCCTGGTCACGAACGCCTTCTCCACGCGGTTCAAGTCGAAATGTGGGTAACAAACGTGACCACACTCCTCTTTCTCCAACTGCAGTTCGTCCAAGTGCGGGTTACGCCACTCATATGGAACGTAGTAGAGCTGCTCTAGAACAGCTTGTTGAAGAAGATCGTAGTCGACGTGCTGCTAAAGAGGCTAATCGTCAAAACCACGCACCTGACCAAAGCCCTCCAGGGTTTTTGTCTCCCAGTAAGTAAAACATTCTTATACTATTTCTGTGCCAACCATATCACGGTCTACTATGACAAATTTGCATATTGTTCTCGAAATTTCATTGTCTTTAACTTTTAATTTTAGATCCCTCTCACGAACGACGAAGAGGAGATTACTATCGCGATGATGTAAGCATTATTTATCCGGACTTTATCTTTAAATCTTGACATGCGGTTGAAAAACTCATATCGTTAACCAATGGCTAAAGTCATTCTTAGTCATCGTAATGTTTTCAGGACATTCACACAATGCACACTAATTAAGTGAACTCATCTTTCTTACTTATTGGTAGCACGGTTATTGCCTGCCAAATCCCGTAAAGTATAAGTGTTTTCATTGCTAATACTAAATACTCTTTGCTTGTTTGTCGGTTTTTTCGTTCCACAAACAGTGCATACATCTGCGCTGTTAAGACCGATTCTGAGCTATGCTACCCAAAAATTACTAAGCATATAGTTCAACCTAACTTCACGTTAACCATAGTTAATAGATACAAACAAGTTGCCAACGCACTAGTCTTATAATAAAAAATTGGCCAATTTGATGGTACTGAACGGTTATTGGGACTTGCCACTATGTAAGTTTTTTAGATAGGTCACAGCAAGACAATATTTTGTTTGCTAAACAGCATTTGTTAACATCACAAAAAGTGATTATAACATTAGGATACTTGAGTTTTACAGTTCTACTTACTCTTATTCATTTGTTTTAGGATATCAGCTATATCATTTAAAGACGAATGATGTTTTCTAAGTTATGTATGTTTATGGAATAAGTGTATTTACATAATTCACTGTAATAATGCCAAGTGTTTTGACACACAAAAAGTACAAAATAACTACATTTTTTATTATAATCACTGGTCTGTTTGATATACATGTTCTCATTTTCTATGTTTATATGCATTCTAGCCCCATACAGTGACATAATCCCACATATGAATATTATTGACAATAATCAAGAACGAGTTTTCGTTTTTTGTAGAGTCTAGAATTGTTCTATGAAGTGCAGAAAATGAAACAGAGCGAAGTTGCTCTGAGAAATACTGATTATGTGGAAATGATAGTACTATGTGTAAAAATCAGTGGTAAAAAGAGTGTGTGAGGATGGTGAAAGTATGCTGCTGATTCTCCATATATCTGTGAGTGTGCCTGTAAATGCTGGTGCGTAATAAATTACAGAAATGAGTTCAGAGGAAAGACTGTATCGATATTTCACCATCGGTGGGGACCAAGGAATTAACAGTCTTGTTTTAAAATCTCCATCACTACTATCACTACTCTAAATTCTTATTATTATTTTCGGATCAAGAATTTCAAGTCAGCTGGTTGTTTTTCTACCGGAAAAACAGGTGCTTTTTCATATTAGCTTTCTTTTTTAGCCACCAGATTTATTTTCTGAAGAAAATAATGATCGTCGTCATTATCTGTCATCTGAATAAAAGGAAGGAAATATCAAAAAATGAAGAGTACTCATGGAGATCCACTCATTATTATTGCTAATTATCATTTTGAGTGTTTCGTGTGTAGTACTGATTTATTCTTCTTTTAGATTTAATAGATGCTTCATTGTAGATGAATAAAAGTTTTTAAAAATGAGTCAGTAGAAATGTATAGAAAAACGTAAATATTATCATGTGTTATTGTCTATCGCCTGATAATTGGAAATGCAATGAAGCCTCTAGGACTAATTATTTATATAAATATCAGTATGTATACATATTCCCAAGAAGAATGGTTCTTTTCCAGCAATCTCTATGCTGATATGCAAGTTTATCCGTTCGTTTTTATTAAAAACAAATAAACAGCGGGATTTATTGTTGTATCCTACATGGGGAATCATATTCTATGTATTATTGTCCAGATAAAATCTGCTGGTGGTGGTAATGCTGCTATGGACAAAACGAATATGGATCGTGGTGACCTATCTAAAATCGTAATTACTCGCAACCGAGTAAGTATTATATATGTATATATTATATAAACGGTATCTTTGCCAGTTGTTATTTCCGTACTTAGAGTAATGATCTAACAATGTAGTCCACCTAACGTTACCTCTCCTTTGTGTTATGTGGTAGTACACATCTTGATATGTATGACTGATCACTTCTGAAGTTAAAGACAGTTGTTAGTCAAAAGCCTCTTGTATACTTGAAAGGACATGAGTTTGGTTACGTTACCACATCTCACATCATTGTAACAGAATGGAGCTAACAAATTAAGATCTGAATTAGTAAATATAGTAAAGTGTAGTAATAAGTTGGACAAACCACTTAATGTCTTCTGCGATGGATTACGATTATCACGTGCAATTCAACCAAAAAATGTTCATCTTCTGACATATCTTAATTCAAATAGCCAGTAACTTCATAAACTGATCTGGCTCAATTTAGATTTTGATCTAAAAAAATTTGTCGCGCTTCAGTGTACTCAAAATCTAAAAAGTAGTGTTTTAGAAATCGGATAAAATTACGCATATTTTATTGCTATATTATATGTTATAGACGTTAGTATTTTCCAAAGAAGTATTTTTATGATCAGAGATGGGTTTTGTGGAAATTATAGTAATTTTATAGTTGGATTCATGAGTCAATTGAAGCTAGACTGATAGTCCCTGGATTTGAATCTTACGAGGCGGGATCGTGGATGCATATTGCTGAGGAGTCCCATACTCTAGGACAAAACGACCGTCCAGTGCTTCCGAGTATTTTTATATTTGTAAAACTCCAAGATTTTATTATCCCATAACCTAGCTATAAACTAAGTGGTCTTAGTGATAAGCTAGTCACGTTTTAATAATGTCCTGTTATATTGGATGGCATCTAAAACTGGAAACATTCTACAGAACATTAATTGTAATGCCCATAATTTTGTCTGTATTTTAGTCCGGACGTATTATACGCTGCAAAGATGATGATGAGATGGGTGATGAGTCAAACAGGTAATTTTCTCAAGTTTTCATTTAGTTGTATTTATTTGCTATTTGTCCATATATTAAGAAAAGGGATAGTTGTTTTAAGAGTTCAGATAGTATTCAGTGTATATATTTTTTAAAAATTATTTTTCTATATGATCATCGTTTGTAGATAAGTATTCTGATATGGTGCATATTTGTTTCTGTAATTGTATGTACTCTTTTTGCTGGCTGATGTTATTTTTAATCAGATAATCAATGCTGACGTTAAACAAATTATTTGACAAAGGTGGTCAATCTGTTAATAAGATGAATGTTCGTTGACTGAGGTAATCAGGACGATGCTTGCTAGTGCAGAACTAGGTTAAAATTAAACTAGGGGTGCCGAAACCGAAATATGACGCCATTTTGGTAGATGCAGACTACGTAGTTGGGGTCTACATGATAACTGCGATTAGTGGTTACAGATCTCGGTTGATTTAACTCAGAATCGTAGGTGCATTCACTCTTTACCGTATTTTCAATCTTGAACTCCAGTATTCATTCATGTAAGCCTTTCCACAATGTCTTTTCAAGCATTATTCCCTAAGTTTAGTCTCTTTTTTATGGTTGGTATTGCATTATCTCATCGTCCTTGGGTCAACACACATCTATGTTGGTGATGTAGGTCTGTATTCTACTAAATGTGACAGTTTAGAATAAAACACATCTGTACGATGTTTTACGTTGATTAAAACGGACTAGCCAGTAAATACCGTATCTGAAATCGAAATCAAATGTATACGTAGGTTTTTGGTCAGAATATTGTGTAAAGTACAGTAGGATGGTGATTTCCCTAGAGAAGTAAGTGGAAGAAAATCTGAATCCGTTTGAATTATTCTAAGGGTTTCCAATATCCTCGTACTAATGCGACTGAGAATTATACTGTTTGTAATTAATGATTTTAGTTTCAATAGAATAAGAAATTATTATATTCATAGACTACCTAATAATCTAGTAGCAAGTATATAACCAGATATCAGTCATAGACAACTTATTACACATGTATTGAAGTTTCCTTTCAAAGCCAATTACAATAGAGAATAAATGAAAAGAAAATCAGATTTCAATGAATAAGTTCAATGTGTTTCTATTCATAAATTGTTTTCTTTATAACAGTTGATATACTTATTTTCTTTGTTGTGTAGGTCAGAAGGCTTATGGAAACGTTCCTATGATGATAATCGAAATGGTAAGAGACTACATTTTTTTCCAAAAATTTCATTATGCTAGTGGATTTTTAAATCACCATGATAGTATTTGAATTTACTTTTCATGATTAAAGATGTGATGTGATGTGGTCTTGAGTGCTGTTAGAGGTATGAGGGCGGTTACCACTTCCCGGTTGCCCACACCGTGGAAGGGTTCTTCTGGAGGTCCCTGAAAAGGAAATTAGATTAGAGGTGGTCTTAGTGACCTGAGAGCGTGACCGCAGTGCCCAAGGGACAACTGCTTGAGGTCGGTCACACACGACCTTTTTATGGGTAATTTTTGTGTTAGCTGTGTACTTGTTGAAATCTTACCGCCCGGAACGGATATCCGTGGGATAAGGCGGTGTGTATTTTTAGTGTCGACCTTTTCTAACCACACCCCTCCTTGTGGGAAGGCAGCATCGCTATCATGCTGGTTGTCTGAAGGAAACACCTTACTGCTGTCACACCTCTGTACAGTGAGCAGTACGACTTCGCCTTCGGACCTTGGGTTTGTTGCTTTTAGTTTTATCGCTCTTCAACCGACCTGTCTGACATAGCAGGACCTTGAGGAACGGTTGTTCCAGCCAGTGTAGCTCGGTCGCTTCATCACGATGGGCAAGCGCGACCACCACGTCAAGGTAGCAACAACGGTCCACTGAATTAACTACTTTTATGAATCCTGTGTTCATTTTGTTGTGTTAATGAGGTATGGCAACTTGGACCGATGCATATATGTGCCTGGTCCTACGTTGTAGCTGACTGACTGACTGAATGTTCTTGAATAATTTATTAAATTAATCCTTTAATACTACTGGTAAATTGTTTCAAAGAGGAAAAAATATAACTTTTTTTATCCTAATCATAATTGTTTAATTTATTCATTATTAAAGTAGAATTGAGATATGTTACTATAGAAAACATGTTGTTAATCTAATTACTACTATATGAAGAAAAAAATAATAATAACCTTGAAGTATAGTAACAATCACTTGATGATATATAAAATATTCGGATCATATCAAAATTCATATACTGGTATATCATTATTTTCATAGTCCTTAATTTCAGTATTTCTTCATCTGATATTAATTTCCAATCCATTTTTTTATTGATTCAAAACTATATTTACCTTTCAATGAGTTAGTTTCCTTTTTTTAACCGTATTCTTCTATACTATTCAGTTCTATCAATTGGTTATTATCATTTAGCTCTTATAATGAACAATGTGATTTAAAACTGAGTAAAATTATTTATTTGAACATATAAATATTGATACAAGAGGGGCACCAAATATATATGTACCACATAAAACAATGAGAATAGGGAGAGAAAAAAAGAACAATAACGAATAGATTAGTGTAAGGTGGTGTAATAATAATAATAATAATGGGGGGAAGCGGAAAGGTAAAATCAGAAGAAATCTTTCAGTTAAGGAAGATAAAACCATTTTTTTATGAAAAAAGTAAAAGAAGGTTACAGCAGGATCGCCATTGGCTTCTATTGTGAGCCATATCTGATAACGTCTCTAGCCATTGTGTAGCACCATCTCACAGACCCCAACCAGGGAGTCGTGAAGGACTAACACGAGGCAGTCCTTTGCAGCTTTCTTTCATCCCACGACACCATATCATACACTGACCACCTCTCCGCTTTTTTCCAACCAGTCCCAGCATCGGCAAATAATGCACGACGTGGAATTCTCTAAGCTGAGTAAAATTATCGCCTTATTATTCAATATGAGTTTACTAGTATTTACCTCAAGTTAAAATAACTTTAAACACTACAAATCTATCTATAATAAACTATTAGTTATTTTTTGAATTGTTCATTGTTTTTTTATACATATACAAAGTGAACTTTTTATTGTTATATCAATTTAGTGATTTTTTAATCATAACTTCATCAACACTACAGAATAGTCTGTTGATGGAGCTATATCCCAGTAATTCTTTAGATATTTACACTTATAAAAAATTAGAAGCTAGATTGTTTCTCTGATTACCTTTAGTCATTTGTAGTGGAGTATTGTTGTATTTTTTTCCCATTCCCTATAATTTCGTCAGTATTGAAGATGAAATGTTTTAATAGCCCGATTAGCATATCTTTATAAAAATTATACCGCTGTTATATCATAAGTCGCTTCAGGTTTGCGCTGTGAAATGTTACTGTGTTACTTTTTTTGGTACTAATAGTAATCACTAGAATTGGATTTTATAGTTCATCTGGTTTGTACAATTACAACACATTCCAAAAAACATAAGCTTTCCACAATTGTTATGCCTTGTTATCTAATATACAGGTGTGAATATAAAATAGCCAAGTTATGATGTGTATTTGATTTATACCAGTTTCTTTTCAAATATTTACCGAGTATTTCGTGATTCATTTTTAACTCATTATAGGTCCGGATAATTCGAAAAGAAGTCGAGCAGATGGGGAATCAGAATATCGAAGCACAAGACGAGTAAGTTAGTAGTGTCTGTGTTCCTTAGTGCTAGAGTTACAGCATCTAGCCTGACACTCTACAATGTTTTGATTTGCCTAGATTTGATACTGTAAAAAGTGCAAATACCTTTATAAATGGTATAAGCATTGAACGACATTTTCACACCTATTCTGTACGCGATCTCTAATATTTCTGCGTTGTTGATGTGGCCATTTATTTTAATTAATACAGAATTAGTAAAACTTTCATCTTACTGGATCATTCAATAGCTATTGATTGATTTGGCTGTATTAATTGTTATTCTCTAAAAACGTTTTGCACTCTTTCTTATTTTCGTCTGAATCTAATGGAAGTATGGTTATGAATTTATAAGAATTCAGTGTAATAGTAGTCGATGTGGTTGTCTCACTTCTTCAATATCGTAAGAACGTCAGTTGATAGTAACCGACTCTCTCTGAGTCAAATATTATGCTTCCAAAGTGTCTTGATCCCCAATTTTCCCTGCCATTGTCTAGACTTTGTGATCACAGGGTCGTGTAAACGTGTTGTTGTTTCTTTTTGCATATACTCCACTGTTAAAACTTAATAACATATATTTGTTCGAGTAATGTGTGGTGGTTCGGTATTTGATGATGCACTTCACAAATACTGGTCTATGATATCTGTTAAAAACTATACTTTTTCAATCATGGCTGATTTAATAATCCATTCCTCACATGTTGAACATTATTACTCATAACCATAAGTAATTACTTACCAAATAAACTGTACGTCATATGCACACGTGTTGTACTCTTAATTGTATTTGTCAGGTATTTACACCTCCACGAAATGCACGTGAAGGAGAACATGGTTCTCTTACTGTATATGAGAATGAAAATGATCTTCCTATGACTTCTAAAAGTCTTCAAGAGCGTGTTCAAGCTCGTTTACGTGCTATAGAACGACGCCACCAACTGGAAGAAGGAAATAATCCTGGAACTACTGAAGTTACTAACGGCGCACCTACTGTTCAGGATAAAAATCGCGAAGGTTCTCTTGCAGTCGGAGATGATGCCCCGCCATCTGAATCTCCTAAAGGTGATCGAGGACACTTTCGTGGGAATGGTCCATCAAGTACTGATCGTCGATCAGGTGGCTCATTTCAGCGTCCTGAATATCATGGTAGCCGCGGCAGTGGATACTATGGAAGAAATCGTCCTCGTGGAGGTCCCCGATGGCGTAATCAATGGGATGATTATCGTTTGCGCCGAAATAACTGGCATAATCATCGGTAAAATTAAATATTTTGTCATTTTGCTTCATCCATATTTGTAGGTTTTGTTGTTATTTTGCATGTGCATATACAAACGACTATACCTAGTCAATCAAATGTTTGGGATCCCCATATAACAGTATTTTTTGCCTACGTAAAATTATGGTTCAGATAATTTTTCTTACCATCGGAATATACTTTCATTTTACCCTATTATTTTATTTGAACACATAGACATTGGTACAATGGGGGTACCAACTACATATACGCCACACAATAGCAATAAGTTTACGAAGAAATAGAGAATGTAAAGTGCGTATAGTATAAGAACAACGAACAGAAATTAGTGTATGAGAGTGAAATAGTAATAATAATGAGAGAAACAGTTCAGTCAACAAAAGTACACCCAGAAAGAATCCTTTCAACTAAAGAAATTACGTTCGTTCTTATAAAGAAAGTAAAAGGAATGTACAACAGGGTCTCCTTGGCTTCTATTATAAGCCATGTGTAATAATGTCTCTATTCACTGTGTTGCGCCATCTCTAGAACCCCGACCAGGTAATTGTGAAGAACCAACAGAAGCTAGTCTTGTACCATTTTCTTTCATATTACGACACCATGTCATACACTGACCACCTCCCCACTTTTCCCATCCTGTTTCAGCGTCGGCAGATAATGCACGACATGGAATTCTCTAGGACGACATTCGCAAAACATGTCCAAGCCACCACCTAAGGTGAGTGCAGGATCAGGGTCCTGCCAGCCTTGTAAAAGTACTTTGCACTTCGAATGTGCAAAACACATATCATACCTACGGACATTGATTACCAACTGATTAAATGTGGATTACATGGCTTGGTTATTATCGCACAGTAAGACAATATTAACCGCATATTCACGGTCGAGAGGTCTTTCTCCTGGCAACAGATTCACACCATTACTTACATCCCTCAGAGCTGTTTCCCGAATGTCATCGGTAGCAAAGTTGAAAAGGGATGGTGTCTAACCTCACTGCTTGAATCGAACAATAGAAAGAGGTGGTTGTATGTCTTCACTCTGCATGAGGTGTTTATATGTAGGGCCCTTCAGATGTTAATGAACTTCTCAGGCACACCCTTCTTCAATAGACAATCCCACAGAACAATCCTGTTCAATGAATCGAAGGCAGCTCTGATGTCAAGACACACTACGATTGTTGGATTGTAATAAGTATTGCGGTGTTGTAACATTTGCCAGAGGGTGAAGATGTGATCATTAGATCATCGGCTAGAACGAAAACTAACCTGCTAGTGTTTGGCATCCGGTCATCACAGATTGTTTCGCTCACACCGGAATTTTTATTGTCTATGACTCAGATGAGTTGAAAGAGTTTTCGGCAATAACCAAATGCAGCTTCTGCTTCCAACTCTGTGTCCATTCAATTCATTTGATTTTTACATACCAAGTTAGCATAGTGTTTTATTTTGTTTATATCTATATCACACCCATTTTTCAAGTGAGTTTTATCTCCAAGTTTATAAAAATCATCACCGAATAATTAGTTGTTTACTTTGTGCTTATCTTGTGAACTACTACTGTTTTGCTTTTCCTTTGGTAACATTTTTAAGTTAATTTTGTATAATTTACTGCATACAGTTATGATGACCGTAGACGTGATGGTCCATCGGCTAGATCGGGCAGTGCCAGTAACTTTGAACGTCGCAGAAAACGTTATGGAACATCTGGATCTGCTGAGCGCTCACCTCGGTCTTCTCGTTCACGTTCGAGGTCACGATCACACGTTTCTAAAAGTCGATCACGTTCATATTCTCGGAGCCCTCGATCATCACCTCGATCGCCATCACATTCACCAATTCGACCTGGTGCTCGTGGAAGGTAAATTCAATTTTTCATTTTTAACCAATCTTTTTCAACAATTATTTTCATTAAGTCTGTATCAAATTTAAACTTTGTTCGATTTCCAAAATTAATGGAGTTGCGTTGATATTTTCCTTTTCTCCCTTTTAGAGTAATATCTCGTGCTCGCATAAAAACTCCCCCTCTTGCCCCACTAGTTACAAGTTTCAGGCGTAGTGAATCAGATGAAAACCTAGCTGAATTAGACCAATTTGTTGCACAGTTGAAAGCTAAAAGACAATTACAACAGCAATATCAACAACAACAGTACATGGCTCAGTTCCAAGAGATGCAAGGTCCAATAGTCAACACTGCGGTTGTTTCTCAAACTCAGCAAGATTATCAGCAAATGGAATTAGAATCTGGACAAAATAGTCCATCTAAAGGTGATGGTGCTCCTGCAAATAATGAATGCCTTTATTCAGATAAAGATGATACACAAAATGATTACAACTATAATCGTCATCAACAAGATTCTCCAGAACCTCCTCAAGCACAATCTCCACCTCCACTTGATGATTCTATGAGGGAAGATAATGCTGTTGAGAACGCGGCTTAATGTGTTTTTGAACATGTGTAGAATTTTTCATGAATCACTGTATTTTTTTGCATCTATTATTCCATTCTGAATTTTAAGCTGTTTATTTGAGAAGTTCTGTGGATAAAAAAATTTATCATGTTCATTGTTTGTTCATCTCCAATGATTTTATGAAATGAACAAATTTCAATCAATATAAATAGAGCTAAGTTAGTCTCTATTATATATTGTGTTTTCTTCAATTACTATATTACTAAATACCCATATATACACTTGATAAAGCAAATTGTTCGTTTATAATTCTTAAATCACTATCTTCAATACGTTTCTCATTATGAACTATTCTGTAGAGTTTGACAATAATAAGCTATGATTGATACGGAATATTAATCAAAAGTAAAACACTTGTAATATGTGAGTATTTGGTTGAAAATTCTACATGAATTCTATGAAGTACAGTCAATCAGCTACAACGTAGGACCAGGCACATATATGCATCAGTCCAAGTTGCCATATCACATTAACACAACAAGATGAACACAGGATACATAAAAGTAGTTAATTCAGAGGTGTTAATATATAAAAGAAAGATTGCAATAAGGATATAGTACAGGAAGAAAGAATTAGTTAGTAGAAAGGAAGATATGAAGCAATTTTAATCTTTTAGTTTAAGGGAAGACTGTTATTGCTACCTTGACGTGGTGGTCGGGCTTGCCTGTCGTGACGAAGCAACCAAGCTGTGCTGGCTGGAACAACCGTTCCTCAAGGTCCTACCATATCAGACAGGTCGGTTGAAGAGCGGTAAGACTAAAAGCAACAAACCCAAGGCTCGAAGTCGTACTGCTGACTGTACAGAGGTGTGACAGCAGTAAGGTGTTTCCTTCAGACAACCAACATGACAGCGATGCTGCCTTCCCACAAGGAGGGATGTGGTTAGAAAAGGTCGACCCTAAAATGCACATCTCGGCTTATCCCACGGATATCCGTTCCCGGCGGTAAGATCTCAACAAGTACAGAGCTAACACAAAAATTACTCATAGGAAGGTCGTGTGTGACCGACCTCAAGCAGTTGTTCCTTGGTCACGCTCTCAGGTCACTAAGACCACTGGTCCAATTTCCTTTTCAGGCACCTCCAGAAGAACCCTTCCACGGTGTGGGCAACCGGGAAGTGATAACCGCCCTCATACCTCTAACAGCACTCAAGACCACTGTATTCATAATCAACCTCTATGAAGTACAACGTGTTATTGTTAAAAATTTCTATATAGGAACGAAAGTAAATGATAGAAACGAAACTATAGGTAAGGTGCTAGGAATTAATAAATTTATTGAGTTATTAAAATAACTTGTCAATGTGTACTTGATGATTATAAAGATATATCATTTATCACCGTGGTTTCTTATCACTTTTTATGGAACTATCGAACGTTCCAGCATATAAACTTCTAATTATCAAGATAATAATGCGACATCGTAGAAGTTATCCTCATTTCTAAACATCAGTGTCAATGTTGGCTCTGTCAGTGCAGTTACGTAAAAGGTCTTAGAGGGCAAATACTCAAGTTTACCATCTAATTACTAAATCAACCATACCAGGTGTTTTAATGACTCAGTCAAACATATTTACACCATATAAATACAGTACATGACAACTGAGTGTTTTAGACTATCAGATTTAGGTATGTAGTTTAATAATGATCAATACTTTATCTTTGCAAAAATTTATAGCCCGTTAAAAAAATCCAAGTAACTCATCACTGTGTGCCGGAATTTCCATGAAAACTACTGTTAATGTCCCCATAATTGGCAGATTTATAAGCCAACGAACGTCATCAGATAACTAATATCAGCATGTTCAAGTCTGTACACAAATACATTTCAAGTTATTCAAACCAAAAGGTATTGTTTCAAATCATACATCACATAAATGGTGAGAATGTTTCATGTTTATTTGTTATCCTTTGTCCCATGTAAGACTGCTTATTCACGATAACTCACAAGAAAAAATATGTTGTGTTCAAATGAAATCAAGGTGTATCATTTAAACATCATCTGTTCTAGGTATAAGAATACATGAATGAAGTCTATTTCAAGGCCATAGGTTGGGATCAAAATAAAAATGCTGTAATAAGTCAAGTTTAAACTGATAAAGGGGACTACCAAATAGGCGCTGTCGTTAATAGTGGTTTAGACTCATTCTAGATGCAACATATGAGTCTGAAATAATCGCCAATAATTTCTAGCCAATTAGGAAGCAGCTTAATTAAATAGATAGTCTCTGGTAAATAAATGGTATTACTATAGGAGTGGTTGGATGTCTCTAGCAGTGAACATCATCGGAATGCAGGTACATCCAACTGATGAGTTATAAGTTGGACGGAACGTGCGTCCAGGATTCCATTGCTGCCTACAGTACTATTTTGTTGTAATGGCTGTATAAACACAATCTGTACATTTCAGTCAAAAGCATCAACAATGGGACAATTCAAATTGAATCAAGATGCTATTACTGTTGTCAACAGTCTACGTAATAAATCTTGGGGTTTTCTACGGATTAATGCCAATCGAAAAGGCGACAGATTATTCGCCTTTCTGAATTTTCATACAGATGCAAACAGTTCCTTCATTGTTCTCAGGGTTTTCATCACGAACTGACAGCAGCTAGAGCAGAAATACTTTATGCTATATGAATCAATGAATTTCGCGCAAAAGTCGAAGAGGCACTACCTTAAGTCTGATTAGTTCGTCTATTAGTTTCAACGGATTACGAGTGTCGATTCGCCTGTTGTGTATAATCTGCATAGAAAAGAATGGGTATTCCATGCGTTTAATACTATCATTTTGACTATGGTGACAAAAAATAATTGTTAGATCCCCAGATCAAGAATATGCTAGACAATTCCAAGTGATCAAACATGTAAAGGCCATTAAATATTTACAATGAACATGTAATGATATATTAAATAGTTTTTTTTTAAAATGAAACGATTGTATATGAAATTCACCACAAACAAATATCATTTTTGATAGATTATACTCTAGGTGTTCGAAATAGGCATACAAGATAACACGACTAGGATAACAACAATTTGTTACCAACTTCGAGACGTTACACTATTTGTTAAAAGTACACTTTTAGTCATACGTTTTCGATTGGTCATTAAGCAAACGAATAGACAGTAAAACGAACCATATTTCACTGATCACTCTTAATAATATTCATCTTAATTAGCGTGCATCCTTCGTTTTTTTTTAAAAAAATCTGAACCTTATTTGTAATGTGAACCCGTTGCGTTCAATAGGAAAAAGAAACATTTAACATTTACCACTTTATTCAAGGCCAGTTGTTAAGCGGATAAAACAAATCAAACAATTTTTCTTCAAAAAAAGAAAAAAAAGAAGAAAGAAACATAAATACAATAATAATAAACTTTGAAAATAGCCTATTCCATAAAAAGTATGCAAAATGTTTGCAGTCTATGATATAATCATTCATAGGCTTTTATTGTCAGTGTAGTATATAATAGGTAGGTAGGTAAGTTATACGGATTATATACAATCCATTGATAAAACAAAATTTCACTGGATACAGTAGTAGGTACCACAAACAAACAAAAAATTCAGGTTATAGGTTATAATTAGGTTAGAAAAACGAGTAAATTGAAGATAAACTATTGTTGTTTATAAATAAAACGAGCTGAACATATACTCCATCTCACTCCTTAACCATTAACTACTATGTTTATATTTGAATGATTCAATGTTTAAATGTAAAAAAAACAAAAACAAATAAGACTAAGATACAAAATAATAAATAGAAAGAAATTGTTATGGTATAGTTGATATGATATTTTTTTGACGTCCAAATGGTCCAGCAAATAAAGCAAGTTTTGATAAAGGTATACCAGCATTAAATAATTCTGGTATATGTATTTGACTACGATAATAATTGATTTTATTCTCAAATATCTAAAACAAAACAAAAAGGTGTTGAAATTCAATAGAATCCTATCTGAACTAAAATTGTGTTGTAAAAAAGAAAATATTCCTAGCTAAATTTTAAATCATTTGATGCATTGAATTAGTTAAAGGTTTACTACCATGTTGTCAGTCGGTCAGTTAGCTACAATGTAGGATCAGGCACGTATGTGCATCGGTTCAAGTTGCCGTACCTCATTAACACAACAAGATGGATACCGGATTCATAAAAGTAGTTAATTCAGATGTGATAATATATACAAAAAAGATTACATATTAGAATATAGTACAGAAAGAAAGAATTAGTTGGTAGAAGGAAAGATATGAAGCGATTTTAATCTCATAGTTTAAGGGAAGACAGAGAGTGCATACATCGACGCTATTGTGATCGATTCTGAGCCATGTCACCAAGAGTTTCCAACCATTGGTCACGATATTCACGCGGACACCAACCAAGTAGTCTGAATCTACCAGCAACGCTCAGACTAGAAGTTAGTGACTTCAAGCACTGATGTCACGTTTTGGTTTGACCGCCCCTGAATTTCTTTCAACCGTCTCCAACACTGGTTAGCATTGCACGTCGTGGTAATCGGTGTTCTATGTATAGAACAGAGGAAAGTAGTGGTTATGGTACTTGGATTGTAACTAAAAGGTCACAAATTCAACCTTATGCTCTACGTAGGGTAGTAGTTCATTAGCTTTCAACATAACATAACAAGTAAATCAAAATCGAATTCATAAATAGGGAATTATTAAGCGAATTACACTATATGTAAAAAGTCAATATCATAATCTTATTTTTCCTTAGTGATGTTTGACATCGACAACTAATCAACCAAGTTCTGAGTTATTTATGACGGGATCATTCATTAGATATACCACAGACAAACAAATAAAACTTACATTGGATGGATAAATCTGACCCTTGATGTTGGAAAAATTGCACACAAATAAACATACGTTACCAGTCATTTACACAAATTCTTTACAGCGAAGTTACATAAGTTCAATTCTCAAGAAAGGAAACGAAGACGACGATTCTAAAACCCTTACTAGCTTATTTTAATCCATGATTGCATTATATTAATTACAAGTTATATTAATATTTAAAATCTGTTTTTCGCGCCAAAATCGGGTCCGAAATAGAAACTATGATCACTAGTATAACTATCGGTTGTCACTTCCTTAGTGTTGCCTTTCTGGGGCCAACTGAATACCATTTATACTGTCTGTATATTATTTGGAAGCTGTTGTATAACGTTCGATTTTTAAAAATCTACTAACATTTGTCGTTGTATTAGTATAGGCTACTGTTTGAGAATAGGATATTGTAAACAACAACAACATTACGTCATTATTTCCGTTCACATAAAAAGGTACAAACCCCTTTTCTATTGAATACTAGAAAACTTTGAATACTCTGAAATAACACTCATCCGTTTATATTATATTCAATACTTGAGGTTCTATTATAATCTTAACTATATTATACAACATCATTCTGTTTTCATTGACTTCCACTTGAAAAAGTTTAAATATGATAAGTCTTGTTAATTTGAACGATTTATTCGATTCTTAAGCTATTCTGGTAACCCGTAAGCTAGAACTACACAGTGACCTCAACTCGAGAGAAAACGAACAAATTAAGCGAAAAACACTTCACTCCAAAGGTTCGTTCTTGTACAGAAAAACACGGGTATTTATAGATGTTAACATTTGTTAAATCAACATCATATTTTGGCCAATCAATCCGCTAAAAGACTAATAGTAGCACGCCACGTTGACATTCTAGAAAGCTCCATCATGCTCTGATTGGCTACTACTCTTCGGCTCCTTTAGGGCCTCTGGAGGCTCCGTTGCAGTTCTCGGAAAACCGACTCAACAAAATATATTTAACAATTTTTTAAAACTGGACTAAAGCATGCTCAATGCACGATTGCTTTGGTGCATGCTGATTGGCTAATTCTTATCCAATCAGCACTAGTCGATAGTTGGAGAATACTCTAGAATCTTCTCATGTGAAAAACTATAAATATACTAACGTTTTTCCCTATTATGCTTCTTACTTCCATCTAACCTTGTTATTTGGAATATAATCTCTTTCCTGTTCAACGGTGTTCTGATTTGGGGACTTGTCGAGTGATTGGTGTCCAAGAATATTAAGCAATAGGTATAGCTGGGTCATACCGTAAGAAACAGATTATAACAACCCCAATTATTTTTCAGTGGTCGAGATCATGAGTGAATTGAAGCTAGACCACCACCATGGGAAGCCTGGAAGCACTGAACGGCCGTTTCGTCATATCGTAAGACTCCTCAGCGGTGTGCATCCACGATCCCGCCTTGCGAGATTTGAATCCAGGACCTATCAGAACGAAACGGCCGTCTAGTGGTTATTATGAAACAATAAAGTTAGTATACCAAATAACTAGATGAGATTATAGTCTTATAGCTGACTTCTAGAATTATTGATTTTAACAGTATCATCTAATATGATTAATGGTGTTTATTTTGATTTGGTATTTTGTTCTTCTGTTTATAATTCTGAACTGAATTAACTAGAGCTTAATCTATTCACTTTCTGTTAAACACTTAAAAGCTGAGAATTCTATATTGTACCAAAATATAATGTTGAATAAAGCCATTAATAATAATAATAATAATAATAATAATAATAATAATAATAATAATAATAATAATAATAATTAATAATAATAATTTTTGGGTGATAATTTTGTTACCATAAATCTTGCATTACTATCATTATTAGTATTACTAATGGTAGTAGTAAAGTGAAAAGGTTTCTTTCTTATAAGCCCTTAAATGAACTATCTTTCCAACCGTCAGTTGGACTGTCGAGTGATGAACATAATTTTCGATTAATTCTCCTTAACATTATTTATCCTCTTCAATAAAAGGTATATCTCATTAAATTTATATTAAACTTTATATACATATTCTACAGTGTTAAAGAGTTTATTGTAAGCCATAAATCGATTACAATGGGGTTAACTGAATCCATTCTCTGTCTTTCTTCTAAACCTTAAGATGTTACTACTCCTAACTTACTTTTTGAACTAAACTTTTCATTTTTAAATTTCCTTTGTGCGATTGGGATTAATGGCTCTACGTCGCTTATCAACTTGTAGACCTATTCTTTTATTACTGTGCTGATATAAGGTGTGGTAACATTCACCGATATACATTCATCCCAGAAACTAAGCTGACGATTACTGATTGACTGACTGACTAAAAAAGACCTTGGAGAAATAATTTTTTTCCCTTTTAGAGAAACTTGTTTCAATTAACAAAGTGGACTTACCTATTAATATAATTTTGAAATATCACAATTGGATTTTTGTTATCATTATCATCATCATTGATGATAATGATAACAAACATCCCCCCAAATGCGCCGGTATGGCCGAGAGTAGGGTAGGCCCGCCCTCTGTCTCGAAATGCTCTCACACGGCCACAAGTATACAGATTCTACCAGGGAAGTCCTACTCACTGCTTTCTCGTGGTGGGGGTGTTGTTTACGAAAATGAGAGGACGGAAAGCGAATGTCCGGCGCTTTAACCGGATCCTAAATCAGTGGTGCACATGGGCTCCAGTATGCTGTGGGAACAAATGGCGTATGAACCAATTTTTGTTCACCGGCTACCATGGGACTGGATCTCCTCACGATGCCCCACTGCCTTGTGGGTTAGACCTTTAGGTCAAAGGCTCGGAGTGTGGCCCCCTAAGAAAACCACCTGCTTCAGTCTGGGCACCCAGGCAGTATCATAGCCGTCACACAAAAGTGTGGCGCATTTAAATTTGGTGCCTTCTTTTACCAATATTTATGTGTTCAAATAAATAAATAAATCATCATCATCATCATTATTGTGAATTATGCAAATATAATAAGTAAGTAAGAATGAAGAGAGAATGATATTTATCATAATATAATTTCACTTACTCCAATACTTTTTGGTATCATTTGTGATGATAAATGCAATAGATGATGATTGATATATAAAACATTAGCAGCATGATCCTCTGGTAATGTAATCACTTTATAAGTATGTGAAGCAACACGACCAATTTCCTAAAATAAAATATAATTACAAATAAAATGATGGTAGAGAACAAAGACTTTCTTTCGTATATCAGCTAAACAACATACTATTGAGAGTGAAAGGTAAAGTCAAATAATATAGCGAATAAATTTAAAATCACGGAGAAAGAAAACTAAATAACCTCCAAATGCCCTAATACTGCCGAGGGTGTGGAGAGTCAGCTCTCCCTCTTCAAATACTCTCACATGGCCACGCGTATACAGCCTCTGTCAGGAAAGTCCTAATCACTGACTTCATGCGGCAGTACTGTTGTTTACCAAATTGAAAGGACGAAAAGCGAATTTCCAGCGCTTTAATCGGGTTGGTGGGCACGGAGGGTTCTCTTAAGGGAATCGGAAAACCCTGATTCCAAACCAATGCTCTACATGGACTCCAGTATTCTGAGGGAACAAATGACGTATGAACCTATTGTTGGCCACTGACTACCACGGGCCTACATCACTTTACGTTGCTCCACTGCTTTGTGGATCAGACCTTTAGTTCGAAGGCTCCGGGTGTGGCCCCCTAAGGAAACCACCTGCTTCAGTGTGGGCACCCTGGCAGTATCATAGCCCACACACAAGTCAAGTGACTTGTGTGGCGCATATGTATTCGGTGTCCCTTTGTACCAATATTTATGTGTTCATAAAAATAACTACAAACTTAAGTATCGATGTAATTAAAATTTTAGGATTTAGAACAAAATGGGTTGAATGAAATCTATGTTAGCTGTTGGAATTTCATATAATTTGACAGTAACTGAGCACCGAGTATGAAGAAGATATCAGATGTAAAAATTGTATCCCAATAATCTGAGTGATTGACATTTTAATAATTCCAACGTTTCGTCCGGTAAACTGCTCCGAATTTCTTAAAGAGGAATGTAATCCGAAAAATATATATACAAATAACTACATCACACTTAAAGTTTATCCCATCATGTTTATTGTTCCTAATGAGGCCAATAAACAAATTTGATCTGGAAAACAATGTTCACCATATAAAGAATGTGTGTGTATCTGTATGCTATTTTTATTGGAAAAAAGTGAGTCCAAGGACAAGTGGTCATTTATTTTTATTATACATCTGAAAATATATAAGAATGAAATAAATCAGTCGAAGTATCCACAGACTCAGATCATTCACATAGTTAATTGTGATGTTAAAAACGAATTACAATTATGATAATCATAAGTGAATCGAGAAAATGACTAAATAACCGTCCATCGATGTTGATATCAATCTTTAGTTGGTGAAAGTCCTTGTGTTCATATGTCAAGCAACAGTTGGCATGGTGTATTTAACTTTGTTTAACCTCTTCTGTTAATGTTGTTATGATTCTCTTATTTATACACAGCTTCAGTTTCATTTCTTTATGAGATCTGAAACCTTTATGAAGTATTTTCATCCCTTCAAAATCGATAGTATATCCGATCTCTTTACCTTACTAGAAACCGAATAAACACGATTGGATAAGCTTTAGGTGTGATTTTGTTATGAATATATACCTTTAGATTATATTTCCATTGAAGAAACTCGGACCAGTTTGTCAGACGAAACATCGGAATTGTTGAACTGTCGATAGCACAGGTTATTCAAATAAAATTTCGATATTTAACGTGTTGGAATTATTTCCTCCAAAATACTGGCTTCAGCTTACCTTCAACCAAAAAAGTTCACATTTTGTCATGCTGCCCTAACTAACAGTTTATGATGTTTAGAAGCTAGATAGATAAAATATGAAGTCGGGGATAGATATGTAAGTCTAAGTAGTCATACTTACTTAATTGGCCTCATCATACTGAATAGAAGATTCTGTCGAGTAAGATCAGATGGAATTCAGAAATCTTAAATACGATGAAGATTTACAGCTTACGTCGATGCTTCTGGTAGTTCCACGTTTTCTGAACTGGACGAGTTATGTGGGAAGGTTGGGTTTTCGTCCTGTACATCATCATTGTGTACTTTATTTCTGTTATTTGAAAAACTCTAATTCAGTGTTTTGATGAAATTGTTTCTAACCGGTTGTTTTTACATGTTTTAGTGAGGTAAAGTGAACGACACACCCAACTGTCTCACTCCCTATCCTCAATTTAGATGTTGACTCAAACCGGTAGTGAAGTAACATTTTGCATTCGGAGGAAGAAAACACATCCCGAATATATTTACATTGTTGCTTAAAGCAGTTAGATTGTAGTTGGCAGGGGGAAACACCGTCACACTCCAATACAGTCAGCAGTAAGACTTTGCATTTCGACAATAATTTTGCTTACCGTTCCTCAACCGACCTCCACGGGATAGTAGGACCTAGAGAAATTATTTCAGTCAACACAGCTTGATCGGGTATAAGAATAGGTAAGCCCGACTACTATGTCAAGGTAGCAGCTATGGTCGGAACTAATTCTCTTGTTTACTTACGTTTAGCCTTGATGTTACTTGATACTATGGTACAGCCACGATTGAGAAGAACTTGGGAATTATTACTGACGTATCATGTCTATACACTCAATGTTACAATTTAACCAATAACTAGGAACAAAGCTACTTTTACTAACAAAAGTTTCGAAAAAACATTTATTGTAAAACAACCACTTAGTATAAAATGGTTTAAAAGGAGCCATTCATTACTTTACTTTTAGTATAGAGAAATAAAGTAATTATTTTTAAATAAACATAAACTTAATTAAGATTGAAAATTTGGTCACTATTACACATTTCCTTATTAAAATAAACATTCATCCTCCGAACAAATCAAATACCTGTATAGATGTAGTGCCTATATTTTGTTACTTATGAAATGGATGCATTATTGTGGTTGTTTATCTGTTTTTTTCTTTCTTTAATGACCATCGAATTAACTCTCTAATGACCGATTTAGAAGAAGAAAACATTTACAAAATGAATATAACCAACGATATTGAGAAATGTAAGGAAATTATGCTATATATATATATATATATATATATATATATATATATATGGAGAGATTTTTCTAGCAATTAACGAATTTCCTTGTCAGTATGTTGAGAGTTCGAACAGCGTTTCTGTTGGGATATTCAGGAAAATATCCCCAAAATTATCCTGTTAAGTCTGGTGCTATCCTTGAATGTGAAATGGTGTCATTTTCCTATCGGTCAACATTCACGGTAGTCCTAACTGTATAAATATGCATTTGTCTGTGAAGTATTATTCCTATTCTTATTCTTCTCCTGACCCCATAAACAATTTCATCTAAGATTTGTGTTCTGATATATTGGAGATTGGGGAACAGTATTGGGGTCGTACTGGAATATCTGAAGTTGGTCAGTCGGTAGAAATTAGAGTAGCCACCCCGCGGTCCACAATAGTTTCACATACTTCAATCTGGTTAGTATGATTAATCCGTGCGCAAATAGTACGACTATAGTTCGTGTTATATATTTGAAAAGGGGAATATAGCTTACACCAATACTTATGAAAAATATTATACCTTTAATAGTTGTTTAGCTGCTTCACTTTCGCCCACTGCCAGTACATTAATCCCAGCCACACCAACGGCATCTTTAAGGGAACGAAAAGGCTGAGGTAACTTGACGATAGAAGTTGCATATTCTGGGAATGCACGTGCCACAGCGTGAGCACCAGCCTCATTAGTATGGGCGGAAATGCCCACAATAATTTCCTGACCTAGAATAACAAATTTGAGATAAATGCTAAATGCAGAAGGGAGGTCTACAATACGAGCAACCAAATTTACCTGAGAAAATATAAACACGTAACCAAGTATCGGTTTATTACAATTAGCTATGGACTGCACACGTGTGAAAACAAGTGATAAAATAAAAAATATCAAGATAAAGTATGGTAGGGTTTTAATGAGATACTTCGATCAATGTATATAAATCAAAGGCACATGAGAAAGAATGTATAGATAAATGTGCTATCGATTTTCAACTTGCTCAGTACCTAAAAGACCAGCCTATTTAAGTTTATCCGTTAGATATCAGTTATAAACAGGTTTTTGTTCGGGCAGCCAAGTAGTATTACTAAACTTAAAATAAGGCTAAAAGCTGAACATAAACTTCTATGTAGTAGGATGAGTGTCACCACTACTTACAACTACACTACGCATACCCTTTAACAGTCGATTACAGTCAGCTCATAGAACATCAGAAAACCCCATACAATACAAACAAACTATCGACAACTTCACTGAGTGGTGGTATATTCCGACCCCCGACCGTACCTGCCACCTCGAAGTGGTGATCCGGCTTGCCTATCAGGAAGACGCAACCGAGTTAAATTGGCTGAAACATATGTTCCCTTAGGCCCCCTGAATGCCCTGGTACGGCCGAGAGTGGGGAGAGTCCGCTCTCCCTCTCGAAATATTCTCACACGGCCACGCGTATACAGCCTCTGCCAGGGAAGTCCTACTCATTGCCTTCTCGTGGCGGGGGTGTTGTTTACGAAAATGAGAGGACGAAAAGCGAATGTCCGGCGCTTTAACCGGATTCCAAATCAATGGTGCACATGGGCTCCAGTATCCTGCGGGAACGAATGGTCACCGGCTACCATGGGACTGCATCTCCTTACGATGCTCCACTGCCTTGTGGGTTAGACCTTTAGGTCAAAGGCTCGGGGAGTGGCCCCCTAAGATAACCACCTGCTTCGGTTTGGGCACCCGGGCAGTATCACAGCCCACACACAAATGATGAACTCTTTATGTCTATGGAAATTACTTTTGTCGCTTTGAAAAACAATCAATCGATTCAAATTATGATCACTACAATTATTGTCATTATTAATACTAATATTATTATTACTACTATTATTGTCATTATTGTTATTATCATCATTATTATTATTATTTTCCACATTATTCACCTTCTTTTATACTTATACAGCGGCTCGTCTTTGGTGGAATTCCGACTGTATCTAAACGTTCTCGAGTCACTGTCCGGTTGAAAATTGTATGTTACCACCGAATACGAGGACTGAAGCAGATTTTCTGAAACCACGTGCATCATTCAAACTGGCTGCCTTCAACGTTCGCACATTTATGCAGGTCGGACAACAGATAGGGCTGGCTATGTCTTTGGAAAGTCTTAATATCGACGTGTGTTGTCTATCCGAGACCCGTATTCAAGACTCTGGCGAAGTACTACAAATTCGATCTCCATCTGTCGCTTCGAAAAGCTTGTTTTACGTGCGCTTATCCGGGGACCCTGTGGCATCTTCGTCTGGTCTTGCTGGCGTTGGTGTCGCACTAAGCGCTAGAGCTGAGGCAGCACTAGTCGATTGGATCCCCATTAACAGTCGGTTGGTTATGTGCTGTTAGATTAGAAAGTTCTATCAAAGTGAGAAGAAATCGGTGTGAGAAACGATGTCTTTTCGTCATCTCCGCCTATGCCCCGACAGATTGCAGCCCGGATGCAATCAAGGATGAGTTTTACCACCAGTTATCAGTTCTTCTCCAGAAAGTGCGTTCGACAGATATTGTAGTACTAGCCGGAGACTTGAATGCTCAGGTCGGACGTCTAGGCATAGAAGAGAGTCGTTTAGGTGGCCGATGGGGACTCGTTGGTCGCAGGTCAGATAACGGGGACCGTCTACTGCAACTGTGCACAGACCACAACCTGTTTCTGGCTAGCACTAACTTTCGGCACAGTCATCGCCGATGTGCCACCTGGCGTCCTCCCTCTGCATCTCAAGCCTGGACTCAGATTGATCACATCGCGATCAGCTACCGCTGGCGTGGTTGTGTACAAGACTGCCGCTCCTTTTCGAGTACCTATCTGGACTCTGACCATGCCTTGGTCTGCGCCAATCTTGCCTTACTTTTCAGTGGACAACGAAGTGAACGCCATCAACGGATTGATGTTAGCAAGCTGGTTGCAACTTCTGTTGCAAGTAAGTATCGAACCGAGCTAACCTCTAGGCTAGCTACCACTCCACCGAAAAGTATAGATGAGCATTGGTTGCAATTGCATGACGCCATGAAAATGGCGGGAACAGTCAGTTGTGGGTTTGCGAAACGTCCCGCTTTTAAGCACTGGGTTTCTGCAGGTTCCTTACAACTCATTGAAGCCCGTCGGTCTACTCCGGGTGACCGTGAGTTTGACCATAAACGAAGGATGCTATGTAAGGAAATCGGGCAAAGCTTGCGTAAGGACCGAGAAGCCTGGTGGTCGATGCGTGCTAATGAGCTGGAAGCAGCAGCTGCATCTGGTAACTACCGGAAGCTCTTCCAACTCATCCGAGCCACTGGCAGCAAGAAGTCTGGTGTGAGTGAAACAATCTGCGAGGATGATGGGATGCCAATCACTAACATCCATCGACGTCTTGGACGATGGGCAGAATTTTTCGAAGGGCAGTTCAACTGGCCTGCTGCTCCGGCAACATCGGTCAGACTGTCCTGCCCTCCATGGCCGGTGACGACTGATCCACCAAATGAGGAGGAAGTCCGCAAGGAACTCCAACTCTTGAAGCGTTACAAATCACCTGGCCCAGATGACTTACCTCCGGCTCTTTTTAAAGATGGTGGTGACTTTCTGACTAAGGAATTGACGACGTTGTTTACAAAGGTTTGGGAACTAGAGAGTGTACCAACGTCATAGAATGAGTCCATAGTTGTCCCTATCTTTAAAAAGGGTTCACGTCGTTCTTGTAACAACTATCGGGGGATAAGTCTACTTCCGATTGCGTCCAAGCTATTGGCTTCCGTCATTCTTCGTAGGTTGTTCAAAACCCGAGAAAGATTGACTCGCGAGGAGCAGGCTGGGTTTCGTTCTGGTCGAGGATGTATTGATCATATCTTCACCCTCCGCCAAATGTTAGAACACCGCCATACTTTTCAAAGGCCAACAATCGTAGTGTTTCTTGACATCAGGGCTGCCTTCGATTCGTTGGACAGAACTGTTCTCTGGGATTGTCTATTGAAGAAGGGTGTACCTGAGAAGTTTATTAACATCCTAAAAGCCCTGTATAAAAACACCTCAGGCAGAGTGAGTGCATACAACCACCTCTCTCCATCGCTGTCTCCGAAGGATTGCTGACATTCAGTGGCAACACCATGTCAGTAATGCAGAGGTTCGGCATCGTGTGTTCGGGCACAGAGATGATAACTCAGTTGGTGTCACCATCTTGAAACACCGACTTCGGTGGCTTGGACATGTTCTCCGAATGTCGTCCCAGAGAATTCCACGTCGTGCATTATTTGCCGACTCTGGGACTGGTTGGAAGAAGCGGAGAGGTGGTCAGTGCATGACATGGTGTCGTGGCATGAAAGAAAGCTGCAAAGGACTGGCTTGTGTTGGTCCTTCACGACTCCCTGGTTGGGGTCCGAGAGATGGTGCAACACAGTGGCTAGAGACGTTATCAGATATGGCTCAGAATAGAAGCCAGTGGCGATCCTGCTGTAACCTTCTTTTACTTTCTTCATAAAAAGTGGTTGTGTCTCCTTTACCTGAAAGATTTCTTCTGATTGTACCTCTTCGTCATTACTCTCTTTTTCTTTTGCGTTCCTTAGTTTTTTTTTCTTTCTACTTCTCTTCGAATTCCCATTGTTTTGTGTGGCGCATATATATTGGCGCTCTCTTGTACCAATATTTATGTGTTCAAATAAATAAATAAATAAATCCCTTAGGTTCGACAATGTTAGGTAGCTCGGTTAGAGAACGGTAAGACTAAAGGCAGCAACTTAGGGCTCGATGGTGAAGTCGTATTGCCTACTGTAAAGGGGTATGAGAACGGTAAGGTGTTTCCTTCGGATGACCAGCCTCTGTAGCCCTCATACTAACCACTATCAACATCCGACTTCATCTTTTTCACAACTGAACCCTTCTCTTACCACATCTTATTAATTCTTCTATCCCCACGCACCACCAATGCTAACGATTTGACTTTGAATGCGAGAATTAACATCGTCTGACGTGGTGACCTCCACAATCGACTCATCAATCGCTATTAGTAATGTTGAATTTCAACTTAATGATGAGAAAGTTAAGAATAAACAAAAGAAATAACTACAGGAGTTAGCCAACCGTGAACGCTATATTCAGCCTGAGGTAACTTAGCTTGATATCCAAAAAAAACTATGGAAACAGCAGTGATATCCACTAGTAATTTAGACCAAAAGGTTAAGAAAAATCAGTGGATTCTAGCAGAAATAGGTAACAGTAGATAATTGTTCAAGCATATCAAGGGAACGGGTGTTAGAAATCCGGCTGTTAATGTTACTAACTCGTGAAAAGGCTATTATTCACGGTCAATCCAGGAGATTAAGCTGATGGGCAGAGGTATGATTATGAATATAGTGGTCTTGAGTGCTGTTAGAGGTATGAGGGCGGTCATCACTTCCCGGTCGCCCGCACCATGGAAGGGTTCTTCTGGAGGTAATTGAAAAGAAAATTGGATTAGAGGTGGTCTTAGTGCATAAGGGACAACTCCTTGAGGTCGGTCACACACGACCTTTTTATGAGTAATTTTTGTGTTAGCTCCGTACTTGTTGAGACCTTACCGCCGGAGACGGATATCCGTGGGATAAGGCGAGGTGTGTATTTTTAGGGTCCACCCCACCCCTCCCTGTGGGAAGGCAGCATCGCTGTCATGTTGGTTGTCTGAAGGAAACACATTACTGCTGTCACACCTCTGTACAATCAGCAGTACGACTTCGCCTTCGGACCTTGGGTTTGTTGCTTTTAGTCTTACCGCTCTTCAACCGACCTGTCTGATATGGTAGGACCTTGAGGAACGGTTGTTCCAGCCAGTGTAGCTTGGTTGCTTCGTCACGACAGGTAAGCTCGACCACCACGTCAAGGTAGCAACAACGATCGGGCGATGGGCAGAACACTTTAGGGAACAGTCTAACGGGCTTCTAGCAACATGAATGGCAACTGATGTAAGTCATCCAAATCCTAATGAGGTTGAGAAATCTACAAGTAATTTTAGGTGAGAGAGAGCAACAGGGCTTGATGGACCAAGCCCTGAGATTTTAAAGGGTTGTGGTCTAGTTTTGGCAGCCAGATTAACTGAAATCTTAGCTAAAATATGAGGAATGGACGTAATCCCATTTGACTGGTCTGGATCCCTGATCGTCCCAGTTTAGAAAAGACGAAAAGAATCCTCTTGTGACAAACACAGAAGAATCGGTTTAATTATTAGTGTCCAAAATATTAGCCTCAATAATACTTCAACCCCTAAGTGGCATCTGACGAGATCTCGACACGGATTCAGAAAGTCCGATTGGCTTTTCGCCAACTTGCGTCACTTGTGGCGTGGGTGAAATATCCGTCTTCCAATCAAAGTGTGAGCTGACTGCGCAGCAGTTCACTCTATTCTACTTCATGGGTATGAAGCATGGCCATTAAGAGTAGAGGATATTCGTAGGCTATTGGTATCTAATCATAAGTGTCTTCGAAGTATTGCTCGCGTATTTTGGGACCATGGAGTAAGCAATGTCTGGATTAGGAATAAGATACTAGTTAAGGATCGAAATCGATTGGAGATGGTAAATCTTCAATAACTGAGGCGGTTAGGATGCTTGTTACATATACCTAACCATTACCTGCCTCGACGGGAGATGTTTTCTGGTGCAGGAGTAGGGTGGTCGAAAGTTAGGGGAGGCCAAACCAAAACAGCGTCAATCCATCGACATTTGGATTTATCGATGTTAACAGGTGTAGACTACGAGGTTGGGATGCAAGTGATTATCGTAGCCAATGGTTAGCGACCTTGAACTGCATGACTCCAAATCGTATGCAATCGCAGAGTTGCATCCATTCTTTGTCTTCCCCAAAATCCTGAGATTCTAAATTCCTTTTGTTTTGCTTTTTTTGCTTGCTTCTCTAATTTATGTTTTTTTCAGAGTCGTGTGTTCGGTAGCTAATATTCCCCATTATCACCGATACTTTTACTACCTCAACTATTCTGGGATTTGGCCTAACAACTGTGTTAATTGGGTATGGAAACTTGAACTGATGTACGTATGTACACGTTCTACGTCGTGACTGACTGATATTCTGCCCTAATTATTCATGACCTGTCTCCGGCTTGCTCTTATACTGACCAAAATAACGAACTAAGGTAGGTCGTGGTGCCTTATAAACTGTACATGGATCAATCGCCTCGTTCCGCAAAATTCATCAGAATGGTTACTTATTTTAACTAGTATTCTACATCCAACATACTAGTTACACAGTGGATTAACTATATGCAAGTGATACTTCAGAAACATCTGCCATTAAATCATTGTAACCTGAGCGTGTTTCCTACTTTGAGAAACATGTTTTACACCTGAGGGAAGTGTAAATAGAACTATTGAGTATTTATACTCTTTCCTCAGTAATTAAGTGAATATTAAACTGTGAAGCAGTTTGTGTGGACTGGTGAAAAAAACAACGGAAAATTTTCGTATGTGATAAAATCCTGTCATCCACCAACCCACAAATATCAGCACAAATTTAGAAATCTCAACTAACTTTTGAGAAATTCTGCTGTTTGAAATGCCGAAAAAGTGCATATTTACCATCCAAAAGTTATGCAAAAGACAGAGAACTTTTTCAACACGTGAAACTTGAACTCGGTGTTCATATTCGTAGGCAGTATTTATCATTATGTGAATTAAATCATAGTGGAGAAAGGTTACGATATCTAGATGTATTTACTTAAATTTGAACGCTTCACAGTATATCTGGTTCATAGCCTACATGCTAGACCATTCAATTAATAGCATATTCTAATTGAAACTTCATGTCAGGTGCAAAATCCTAGAAGATATCTTCACCAATGATCTACATAGGCTTAAGAAGTCACAAAAGCTGGAACGTTTAGAAATGCCTTAAGTCTGCAAAGGGAGCATACTTATTTTATACCCAAAATATGTTAGACAATTGGTCAAAGCTTTTTAGTGACTAAGCGAGATTTTAATAAATGGATATTTAAAGCATTGTAGAGTGAAAAATTTACTTATTACATCACTTGTACATGTGTTAAATTACCTGTGAAAAGGACGTCACTCCCCTCAACTTGAGCATTTTCTGTATTCAACTCAACTATTTTAATTCCCAGTTCCTTTTTGAGAGTATGACGAATTAGGTTGACCTAGAATTACTAGAAAAGCAACTAAATATATTATACTTCTCCTTGTCTGTGACATCGATATGGGTTACACATCAGTGCTGTCCCATTAACTATGACAGCTGTGTCGTCTACTTTTACACACTCAGGATGACGTTCATCCGCTTCCATTTCAAGTACATCGACTCCATTTTGTCTCAATGCCTCAACGAATTTTTCTCTCTCATTGCAAGCTTCCTCATAGTTGAATTTTCCACCCTTTTTTCCTGGTACGTTAGCATCAGGAGACATCAAAAATTCTTCAAACGATCTGGGTATTTGGCTTACAACTGCATATTCATATTGGAATGCCATTAAAATGAAGTACACCGAACGCTACAATCTAAGCGCCACGCCGACGTTCAAACTCCAAATTCCTTAGTCTCAGTTTCAGTTTTGGAAGGACAGGAAGCTTGATGGCCTGTGTTAGTCATGGCAATGGTGGTCTCTCAGTTGATCCAACTTTATTTTAAAATAGTCGACGGATGGAGCCTCAACCACGTGCTGAGGTAATGAATCCCCTCTCGTTGATGATTCGATGGGAAAGTCGATAGTCAGCTGACAAGTAATTTGTTCTGGGCTTGTGAACTTCTTTGGAGTGTCCTCGTAAATTCTCTGTTTTGGAAGATAAGAAAAATGAGGGCATATCAGGTGCAAATTTACCACTAAGCAATTTGAAAACTGTAATCAAGTCGCCCATAGTTCTGCGATATGACAACGGGAAAAGGTTCAAATGGTTCAAATGGTTGAAATGGTTGTGGACGGAATAGAAGAAGCTTTTGCTTAACAGGCTTCCGTGTCTAGTAGCAGGGGATCACCAAATCCTCCAGGCAGGAACCTAGGTATGTTAACAATAAAAGAGGAAAAGAAATCGGTAAATCATAGTGTAATGCTGCCCTTGGTCCTTAAGAATAGGTCAAGTTGCCTCTTGAAGGACTCCTGAGAAGTCGCTTGGACTAGCTCGGCCGGCAGCGAGTTCCAGCTTTTGACAACTCTTAAGGAGTAGAAGTTGTGTCTACATTCCGTCTTGCTATGTTGTGTTTCCAGTTTCTGGGTGTTACCCCTTAGGTTATTATTCGAACTAGGATTAAGTAGGTGTTTAAGAGGATGTCCAGAAGTGTTAAGAATACTATAAGCCATTAATAAATCACCTCTAAGACGCCTATATTCTAGTGGGTAAAGGTCTAGTGAACGGAGGCGTTCTTCGTAAGGCTTAGATTTGAGTCCTCGAACTGATTTCGTGGCTCGCCGTTGGATACGCTCCAAAGTGACCTTGTCCTTTTGGAGTGAGGGGGGAGTACTATATTTCCGTACTCTAAATGGGGACGGATGAAACTATTGAAGATTGTGTGGAAAGTTCTTCCGTCAAACTGGCCAAAAATGCGCCTCAACGTTACCAGTGCAAGGTTTGCTCGGAAGGCATTTTTGTCACAGTTAGCGTAAGACTTTAAGTCATGGGGCACCAGGACTCCTAAATCTTTTTCGACTTGGGATACTACTAGAGAGGAGTTTCCTAAGTTGTAACTGTAGTTTGCGACATGTCGCAGATGGACTACTTTACACTTTGAAGTGTTAAAGATAAGTCCGTTATCGTCTGCCCAACTTTGAAGTCGAGTCAGATCCTCTTGAAGTGCCTGTATATCGTCTTGGTTGCGTATCTCTCTCCAAAGTTTCACGTCGTCGGCAAAAAGTAATAAGTCTGACGTTACCTGTTGAGGAAGATCATTTATGTAGATCAAGAAGAGAAGAGGCATTAGTACTGAGCCCTGGGGGACCCCACTAGGACATTCCATAGCTTGAGATAAAATGAAATTAACCCTAACCTTAAAGTGTCGATTTTTTAGGTATGAATTAAGCCAGTTGATTAGAGGTGGTTTGATACCTAGTCGTTTGAGCTTGTTGATAAGACACAAGTGGTTAACCTTATCAAAAGCTTTTGAGAAATCAAGGTAAATGACATCAACCTTTCCCTTGCGATCGAGGATGCTTGTCCATCTGTCCACCGCAGTCAGCAGGTTGGTTATACAAGAGTAACCCTTCCTGAAAACATGCTGTTGGGGTGAGAAGAAACTTAAGGACAGTAGGTAGTCATTTAAACCGTCGCATATCAGGGACTCCATGAGTTTTGAAGGTAACGACAGAAGAGCTACCGGCCGGTAACTTGAAGGTTCATTGCGTCGACCACCTTTGTTCCGCTCGGCCAGTTGAGCTTCATACGGAAGCTTCGCTATTCCGGGAATCAGCTTGGTTGCTGTTCTCTGAACCTTTTTCAGAAGCTCACTGTCTCTTTTTAAATAGGGGCTAGCCGCTTGAATGCAGTTCTCAAGTTTGGGACGTATGAACACTATGCAAAGTCAAAAACGTTTCAGCGTCGACATGACTAAAAGTTCTACGTATTGACCATAAGGTTCTAAAACCTTTGGCGGCTATTGCAGGGTAGTGTGCAGTAGACTTTAAGTCTTGGTTAACGACGACTCCGAAGTCATTATGTGTCTGGACGACAGGTAGTTCTGTGTTATTCATCGTTTGTGTATCTGTACCATGATGAAGTATTTATCGGCAACTGGCAGGTTTGAAACCATTCAGATAGTTTCTTCAGGTCATTTTGGAGTTCTAAGCTATCACCCTTACATCGTATCGTTCTCCATATCTTGACATCGTCAGCATATAGCAGGACCGATGATGATAGGAGGCGAGGAAGGTCATTTACATACAAGAGGAATAGCACTGGCCCCAAAACTGTACCCTGGGACACTCCACTAAGCATAGTTTCCTAGCTAGATAACTTTGAGTTCACCCGAAATCTTTGTTGGCACCCAACTAGGAAGTCTTATCCACACCAATAGATTGCCTTTGATTCCGATATTTCTTAGCTTATATAACAGCCGGTTGTGCGTAACTTTATCAAAAGCTTTGCTGAAATAAGTGTAGGTTGCGTCCGCAGGCAACTTTTGGTCCTTAATAGCGACTAATAAGTTAGTGAGACAAGAATAACCTATTCTGAAACCGTGCTGCTTCTCCGAAAGGATCCAGTTTTGATCGAGGTACATAAACAACTCCTTCCGAATAATCTTTTTTAAGGTTTTAACAACCACACTAGTTAGGCAAACGGGGCGGCAATTCTCAGGTTTGTGTTTCGTATCTGTTTTGAAGACAGGACTCACTGTTGCGTTTTTTGCAGTCTTTTGGTAAACGACCCTGTGCTATGGATAGGTTAAAGCATATAGCTAAGGGGTTCGCAACGAAGTTAGATAATTCCTTCATTAGCCTAGGATGCGATTCATCGGGCGTCGTGGATTTACCTATGTCAAGCTTATTTAGCAGACCAAAGACATCGAGTTCTTTAATGGTCACGCTATCCAGTGTATGTGTGGGGGGATTTGTATGCGCTGACGGGAAGGGTGCTTCTATGGTATATACATAGGTAAAGTAGTTAGAGAACACTTGAGGCCTACTAAAGTCGTCCTCCAGTAGTGATGCGGCAGTACTGTCTACCCATAGTACAGGAATATTTCCTCTTCATTTTGTCCTTTGGTTTATATAGGAATACAAGCGTTTAGGACATTCTATGGATTCCTTAACAATTTTTTCTTCGCACGACTTTCTAGAATTACGGAGGGTCAATGCACAGGTATTCCGAGCTTTTCGATACTGAGATTTTGTCTCATCAGTCCGCAGTAACCCAATAATATATCTCACAGTTTTCTTGTCTTACGGAGAAGGATGCGGACCTCCTTACTGAACCATGGTGGAGAGTTTCTCGGTCTCCTTGGTTATAGTCCAAGGAATGAGGGGTGCGGTAAACTTCAAGTATAAATTTCGAAATGCGTCCCAAGCCGTTGAAATTGAGGACTCTGAATCTATAGTCCAATCTACTAACGATGCTGAGTGCATGATGTCTGGTATGTTTGCTTTCCAGATGTTAGGTCTGGACTGGACTGACGCATGCTCGTGACTGGCAGTTATATGGAAGTCGAAAGTTAAAACTGCGTGATCACTTTTACCTAGGAGTAGCATGTAATGGAGGTTTGCAACGTCATCCTCATAGTGAGTCAATGTAAGATCTAGTAAGGATGATTCAGTGTCCGGGTCGTACCTTGTCGCTTCTTTCACATGTTGCACTAGGGCATATGTGATAACCACATCAACTAGTTCCTGATCAAAGGAATTTTCTGACGATTCAGTTCACAGATTTACCCAGTCTACCATTGGTGCATCAAAGTCCCCTAGGACTAGACATCGACCACTTTGTGGTTCAAATTGATTTTGAGCGGAAGAGTAGAAGCTTTTGCTCAACGGGCCTCCGTATCTTGTAGCGGTGGATCACCAATACCTCCAGACAGAAACCTAGGTATACTTTGAGACTCGTTTCGAAAAGGGCAGTGATTTTTATACTTGTCGTGATTATCCTTACTTTGTGTACTTGTCGCACTGAAAAGCATTCTTGATCTACTTTAACTAAAAGTACTTTGGTTAAGGTTTGAAATTATTGCTAAACTTTGTCCTGTGATACCTTTTTTTTACTCATTGACTGACACTCGTGTTCACACTGTGATCATATAGTTTTTAAACCTTTTTAATCAAATTACAATGGTTGGTTATACTTATAAATGTGGACAACCAAACTGCTTATTCCCCGTTGAGGAAGGAATGCAGTAAGATGAATGTAAAAAGTTGTACCCTAAAATGTGTACACGTCTAAGTCCTACGGCATACAGAAGATGCTCGAAGCCTAACTAGCATCGGCTTTGTATGTTTTGCTGTACAAAAAGAAGCTACTAGTTTACGAGGCTATGTGCTTATTGGCTTTGGCCTGTGGGAAAAACGATGGCGGTTGCGCTGATAACATGAGCACTGACGGTGAAGAAGGAGTCAGTGTAGTACGTGCTGCTACCAAAACCGCTAACCACCCGACTGTGATTGATAAGAAAGTGAAATCTCCGTTAACATTAACGAGGAGTGAAGTGCCACTTGATATTGACATCGGTAATCATACACCTGTAGTGGAAATTGAAGACCCGGATAAAACTGTCACCGTTCCAAATAGTCCTTGTGTGACTGTCCTGAGTGATGATAAGTGGACTTCAGTACGGAGAAAAAGAAATGAGAAGAAAAGAGCTGTAGGCAAGACGGAGATGGTTAGCAAGTCATTGGAAGAGACAGTACCAGAAACAAAATCTTCACTGTGTGTCAAGACAGATCTTACTGAGAGACCAGCCATTTTTCATAAGTTAAGAGAATCCTCCGATAAGGAACCAAAGGCTAGATTTGAACACGATCTCAGTATATTAAGTCCTTAATAAGCAAAGTACTGCCAGATACAGCTTCAGGAGTTAGAATCTGTAAGCTTTATAGAACAGGACAAAAGTTA